ACGATTATCTCAATTGGTATGAGGCCTTTTGGGTGAAATCAAAAGCAAAGTCATGGGGGTTATGCCCAAAGTGGACAGTATCATACCATTTTAGAGATACTTGGGGTATGAGTGATACCGTTATCCTTAACAAGTGGTATGAGCGCTGTAAGGTTGCAGTATCATTGGATCCAGTCAAAAGTCATATCATTACTTCGAGGGGGGGTTGAGATTTGATGGGAGAATTTTGGGTTCTGGGAGATGCAAATTATAGATCTTCTTACATACAAGAAGATATTCATAAAGCCCTGAAAGAATGATCAGCCTCTGGGATGTCAGATAAAGAGTGGTATTAGAGCCACAGTCTAAACCTAGCTACGTGGGAGGAATCCTCGAAAGCCGAACAAGAGTGATTGGTGAGCATAATAGTCATTACAGAACTTGTTGATTAATCTCTAAATCGGAAGAAAAGTGCTTGTAGTTGCGAGCAATGACATACTATATTCTCGGCTGAAGAGCAAAACATGTCCTATCAAGTCGAGGTAGATTGATAGGAAGGCTATCAGAGTCGAGTAGACTGATAGGAAGAATAGTGTATCTTTGTTTGAGGGGAGGAGATTCAGGGTGCGATAGAACGACTTCAGATGTTCCCACAATGTAGTTCGTGTAGCAAGTGCTCTATCTGGATGTGTTAAATAGAAGCAGCTCATGTTGCCTACCGAGAGTAAGATGAGTTGCATGACTATTCGAGGCAACATACAAGTGGCACTTTGTCCGAGTCGATGATTGTTTGGTTTGTAAGGAGTTCAAACAAAGTCTCACATTGGCTAGGAAAGTGAGCGTTCTTTGGTATATAAGAGAGAACAATTATGTCCATTGATATGAGGTCTTTTGGGTGAAACTAAAAGCAAAGTCGTGAGGGTTATGCTTAAAGCAGACCATGGGTCATGAAAGAGGTTGACCCCCATCCCCCTTCACTATGTATGGCCAATGAACTCATGAAAGAGGCTGACCCCCATCCCCCTTCACTATGTATGGCCAATGAACTCCTCGCTTTAGTCCGTTCTTTTTCTTCTTTGGGCTCGGGTCGATAGTCGCCGTGGTAGTAATGTCCCAGATAGAAGTGCATCACAAGTTTCTATAAAATGAAAGAAATGCAAAAGGTTTTTCAAGCCAAGCCAAAGGACGGCGACAAGGAAGATGGCAGGCAGCCAGGCAGCCATTAAGAAGAAGATGGCCAGTATACTGAAAGACAGACTGAAGTAAGGAACGCAGGCAGCCAGGCAGCCAGGCAGGCAGCCAGGCAGCCATTAAGAAGAAGATGGCCAGTATACTGAAAGACAGACTGAAGTAAGGAACGCAAGCCCCAGGACCAGGAAAGTCTAGGTGGAGGAAAGCTAAAAAAAGAGAATGAGTGCACGAATGCAACGCCATACGTATTATGAAAGGTAGGTATAGTTGAGGGGTTGTTGCATAAAGCCTCGATAAAGTCTCTTACAGACCATATCAGACCTGTTAGATACCAAATTGAAAATTTAGATATTTTTTAAATTCAATAATTCCTTTTTTTTAACCACATATAATATCTTAATTAGTAGAAATACTTGATTGGGAAGTAAATTATGATAGTTTTTTATTAATTGGGTCTATGCATTGAAGCTATATATAACGTTGTTGTTAAGATCTCTATTTGTTGTACGTTGGGATTCAATCATCCAACCTTCTCTGGTTATAGTCTACTTTGGTGGTAATGATGCACTCATTCCTTTTCCGGACAGTAGTCACGTGCCAGTTCCTAAATTCTTCAACAACATGACCAAGATTGTCTTCCATATCAATTATCCATACAACCTAATTTCATTGACTACTTCCATTTCTTAGATCTTATGTTTTTATATTTAAAAAATAACTTTCATTTAAATGTATCTATTTTCAACAATAAAAACAAAATGGTTATATATTTATTGAATTCGATAAACATACTTCAATTTATATTATTTTTCCTTATTTTCAACACAGAGCCTAATCCTCTTGAATAACATTCTTCGAGCCTCTTGACAACGACTCGCAGCATCTTCATCACACCACCATCGATAAACAGTGAGCAAATAAGAGAGTTGATGTGAGTGTAGAATCATATATTTATTGAATTCGATAAACATGCTTCAATTTATATTATTTTTCCTTGCCTCATGTTATTTTGTTTTATTTATTGACTTAGGTCGGGACTTGAGAAGCTTCGAACTATGGAGAATCTTGAGATTTATACGGGTGCAATGATTAGCATTTGTAGGGATATAGACATTGAATATGTTGATTTGTTTCGTGCCCTTCAGAAGAGAGATGATTGACTAACTTTCTTCAAATTAGTTCATGATATAACCTTAAAGTTTGGAGAAAAATTACATTCAAATGACGGACAAAATATTATATATATATATATATATATATATATATATATTCCTTATATTTTTTTCCTTTTGTCAATTTTAGGGATGAAGTCCATTTTACAGAAGAAGGAAGCCGCGCAGTTTTTGGTGAAATTAGGAATGTGATTAACAGGGTAAATTGGGTACCAAGCTTGGCCGCAGAATCCATGCCAATTGAATTCGAAAATATCGAAGGACTGAGTTCCTATGCCTTTGAAGGCTCCAGCTTCATTCTACATTAATTTTAAGTACTATTCTATACTCTCATTTTAGACTTCAATAAAGGGCAGATGGTTGGTGGGATCCAAACTAAATTATTTCTTATGCTTTAACTAGTTGAATTGTATTATTAAATTAAATAATTATCTTTCAAAGAAGTAGAACGTTACCAAACCAGTTCATACTTATATATTTGACTTTTTTGGATACTGTTTTTTTTTTTAATTTTAATTGATCTTAAATAACAAACCAATTCTCACTATTGCTCGTGAGTTAGTTGTTCAAATACTGATAGTTTAATCCTCCACATATGCAATTATTGGACTAAAAAATTATAGATTATATTAATACTCAATCTTTCTCAAATGGCAATCAATTTGATCATATATTCTTATATAGTTGCAAGTGATTAGTAATTGAACACAATTCAACTCATTAAACTATAAGTTATAATTTGTTCTTAATTAAATCGTGCTGCTCTCCCTCCCCCCGTGTGAACTACATTGTCTCTCTATCTCTTTCCAGTTGGAGTGGCTGCTAAAAGAAAATAAGAAAAAACAACTCTCTTTAATCCCCCAACCTTATTTTTTACAATAACGACAGGTACCATTCAATGTATGTGGTACCAACTTTGAGGTTACTTGATCATTTCTTATTATTGTTTATTTAAAAAAGAAAAAAAAAACGTTGTCGCTCTCACTTTGGTTCGACTTGAATCTTTTTGCCCTTGAACTAAAAAAGTTAAAATATATTATTATAGACATCTAAATCTTTCTCGAAATGACAATCAATTTGATCATAGAGACAATACCATAACGTAATCAAGAACAATTATACTAATTAAAGCATAAGCTATAATCTATAAATTTAGGTTATACCCACCACAGCACCCCTGTATTGAAGTTTAAAAAGAGAGCGAAGAGCATGGATCCAGCAACCAATGGCATCGGATTTGTCCGATTAATTAATCACCTTCTTAATTAATTTCACAAAAATTTACGATGCGGCTTCCTTCTCTGGTAAAATTGACTCAATCCCTAAAAGTGACAAAAGAAAACATATAATATTTTTAAACTTTTTTTGACAAGTTATAACCAAGTATTAACTAAGTATTGTGATTAGAATTTATTTTCAAACATCCATATTTATAAAATATATTGAAAAATATGTTTTGCGTATCGATATTAGATCTTCTAGTTCTAAACAAGGTTTTAGATGTCCATATTCATAGAAATGTTGATGCCTCAATCTCATAGAAATTTAGACAAAATGTCGATGTCGATGGATATTTATGTAAAAATTAGAGAAATTAAAAAATCATAAAAAAGATTTAAATTAATAAATAAATATTTTTCTATTTCTAAATAAGTAAAAAATAATTAATATTAATATTACACGTGTGTATATATATTAAAAAACCTTAATCATGTTTTACTGTCATAAGGTTAAAATATTATTTTACTTTCCTGTTTCGGTTCATTTTGATTTTAAAGAATTTTAAAAATATTCTTTTTAGGAATTTAATCCCGCAGACGGTGACTTATCCTCGAGAATAGGGAATTGAATTAATTTTTTTTTAAAAGATTATTTAAAATATTAATAATAAGAGGACAATAGGATAAGAAAACCAAACGTAATTAATGTGAATCATGTGAATGAGGGAGGGGAAGAAAAGCGAGTGGAATCCAATACAGTGCTTTTGTCGTTGTTCTTTCCGATCCACACACTCCTCTTTTTTTCTTTTTCTTTTTCTTTATTTTCTTCTCTGCAAAGGACAGTGCTATTTTTTCTTCTTTTCTTTCTGCAGCCACAATTCTTTTTTTTTTCTCTCCCTGAGGACATATATTTTCTTACAAAAGTTAATAATAGACATCAGTTACTTTTCTTATTGTCAATTGGTTTTGAGATGAAACTCATCAATATTAATATGATATCAGAGTCCAAAACGCTCAAACGAATAACTGATCCAAAAATTGAATCCGACAAATATCGATAAGTCAAAAGAACCACGATCGAGGACATGTTAAGGATCTCACATTAAAAATGAAATGAACATGTTTTATAATAGACATGAGTTACTCCCTTTATTACTAATTAATTTTAGATGAAACCTGTAAATATTGATATAGTGAACTAACTATACATTTCTTAAAAAAAAAAAAAAGAACGGACACCATATCTAGTGGCTTTATTATTATTATTATTTTGGATGTATTTGTTGATCCAATCTCGTGCATGAATCGTGAATTCACGATGGTGAGCACCCAACGCCACCAAACAAACAGAGGTAACAAATATCAAAATTAATTAAGCAATTAAGTTTAAAAAGCACGTGCGGAAGTTAACTATTTCTATAAAAAGAGACAAGAGAGGGGTAGACGTAGAACAATCATAGATCCTTATTTTTCCTCTAAGTGACCATCTGCTCAACCGAAAAATGAGCTGCTCCTTGTTGAATCCGCTCCAAGTTGGTTCGGGTAGATGCCAACTCCCGAAGCAACATCCAAGCCTTCGTCCTTCGTTGAGTATACAGTTTCCCGGAGCTCTGTCACGGTAATTAAGCATAACCCACATCTATTTTGATGTGGTTTTTATATTATAGATCACGGTTAACGTTAATCATGACCCATAATATATTTTGACAAGGAAATTGAGATAATTAAGTAGATTAATATAAGATATTATAGCTAAACTATGAGTAAGAATAAGATACTGATACTGTAACAAATGTTGATTCTCATTTTATTTATTTCAGTCGTGGATGGAGAACAAAAATGGTTGGACCGGTGAGACCTAAATTCGTCCTCTTTGGTTCTTCCATAGTTCAGTTCAGTTTTGATGATAAAGGATGGGGTGCTGATATTGCCAATTTGTATGCCCGTCAGGTATATTGATGCTTTTGTCTTTGGCTAACACCATGGTTCTAAAAATCGATTAATATTGATACGGGTGAAAAATCATTTTTCCTCTTTGTCGTCGACATGTCAACAAAAGTTTTTTTTGTTCAGGCTTCCTATTTTTCTTCCATCGGATGCATGAAATAATTCAGAAAGTGAAGTTAAAAAGCATGCAATGGAGAAAGAAAATTTAAGGAAGAAAACACAAACCTATGTGAATATAAAGAGTTTGGGTGCATAATTTTCTTCGTTTTTCCTTTCTTCTCCCTCCTTCTCTTGAATTTTGTAAATTCGTAACGCGAATTGAATGACGGAATAAGTGGACCCAGACATTTGAAGTGGTTTTTTTTCACTGGATTTCAACGTGGTCTTTTTTGACAAAAATAATAAAACTAAATTATTAAAAAAAAAAACTAAATTTAACGGTAAGAAATCTAACAAAATCTTAAAAAAATCTAATATAAAAAAATTGATATAAAAATAAAAACAAACTTTAAAATTAAATTTAACTAATAAAATCTTAAAACAAATTCATAAAAAAAAAAATCTTGTTGGACCTTCACGAAATATCTATCGATATCGACATGTACGTAAAATCGAGACCTCGAGATTTTCATCGACATCGATATCTTAAACCTTGGTGATTATCGATATCCATAGAGAAGAAATAATGTTGTTGGAACACATGATTTTTTACTTTTAATTAGTGATTACTATATTAAATTGCTACTAAATTCCAAATGCTAAACCTAATAGGTTAAAAATAAACTTAATTTTAATGGTGGATTTCTAACGCTCGTTTATTTTCCACAGGCCGATGTCATTTTACGTGGCTATGCTGGCTGGAGTTCAAGCCAGGCTATACAGGTTGTGGATAAAATATTTCCAAAGGTACATGTTAAGCAAATATATCTCATACTTTTGACATTACCTTCAATCACCACTAAACTCAATTTTTTATTTTATAATTGGTAGGAGTATATTTAATATTGGTTAAAGTTACCAGTTTAGTTATTAAACTTAAAACAATTTTTTTTAAATAAATCATTAAAGTGTTTAGTATGTTCTTGGACTTCAAAATGGTATGTTTTAGGTTTGTAAACTTTCAAAGTTTTCTAGTATATATATATATGTATAAAAACTCCTAATCTAATAGAATTTCACGGATGGAGATTTAAATAGGGGGTGGGGATGGACAAAGAAGTTCCTGATACTTACTCAGTCCTGTAAACCCTCTTTGTTATTTATTTATTAGATATAGAATTGAAAATGTGAACAATTATTAGATAATTTTTTAAAGTTTCAAAAACTCGTTTTTTAACCATATATAATGTGTTAATAAAAGGATTGGGAAGTAAATTGGGATAGTTTTTGTTAATTGGGTTTACTTATTGAATTGATCGAGTTGTTAAGATCTCAATTTGGTGTGCATTAGGATTCAACCACCCAACCTGCTCTGGTGATAGTCTACTTTGGTGGTAATGATGCAGCCATTAATTTTCCTAATTCCGTGCCAGTTGATGAATACATCGACAACATGACCAAGATTGCCGAACATATCACGGTCAACTATCCCTTAAATCTAATCCCCATTTTACTTTTTGTTTTGTTGTATTGGTAACACTACTGTATCTATAAAATAGCTTTCATTTAAATCTATCTATTTTAAATAGTAAAAATAAAATTATTATAGCTATACGGAGCCTAATCGTCTTGAATAACTTTCTTTAGTGTCTCTCAACAACCACTCGTAGCATCTTCCTCACACCACCGCCCGTAAACAGTGAACAACTTAAACAACAGATGTGAGTGTATAGAATCATATATTTATAGAATTCATTTAACACGCTTCAATTAATGACCTCATATCATTTTGTTTTCTTGACATGACTCAGGCCGGGACTTGAGAAGGTTCGAACGATGGAGAATCTTGAGATCTATTCGGATGCGTTAATTGACGTTTGTAGGAAGATAGGTGTTGAATATATTGATTTGTTTCGGGTCATTCAGAGGAATGATGATTGGCTAACTTTCTTCAGGTGGGTTCACCATGTAACTTTAAATCTAGTAGAAAAAATTACATTCAAATGGCATAAAAGATATTTTATATATGTATATTTCTTTCTTGTCAATTTCAGGGATGGAGTCCATTTTAATGAAAAAGGAAGCAGGGTAGTTTTTGATGAAATTAAGACTTCGATTAACAGGAGTAATTGGAACCCACCCTTGGATGCGAAATCCATGTCAACTGAATATGAGCATATCTGAGGACTACGTTCCTTTTTACTTTGAAGACTTTCTATGCTCTCTTTTTAGACTTCAATAAAGGACAGACTTTCTGCTTATGTTTTAATTAGTTGAATTGTATTCGATTATCCTTAAAATAATTTAGCCAATAATAATTATCTGCAAAAAAGAAAAAATAGAACGTTACCAAACTAGTTCATAATTAAACATTTTTATTTTTGTGGATATTGTTTTTTTTTAACATAGTTGATCTTTACATAACCGTAGACACTATTGTGTTGTCATGCTCTAGTTGGTGGTTTGGTTTCTCCTCGTGAGTTAGCTATTCAACTACTATTTTGTTCTATTAGTTTTACTCTAGTACGATTTCAAATGATGATGGTTTGATCCTCCACATCTGTAATTATTGAACTAAAAACGTAAATTATATCATTGTAGACATCTCCAATCTTTCTCAAAATGACAATCAATTTGATCCTACATTCTTATATAATTGCAACGCGATGGCATAATTGAGTACAACTCAACAAATTAAAGTTTAATTTATAATTTATAGATTTAGGTCACACTCATCTACACCAACACCTTTTTTTTATTTTAAAAATATAGCAGAAAATAGTAGTTAAAATTTGAGTATTGAGCCTTCAAATTCAGTCCTTCCTTATTTCCGAATTCAATTGGCATAAAAAACTACCCTACCTCATTCAACCCAAAAGTTTAAGTGTTGAAGATAAATAAACATCATTCAACCCAAAAATTTAAGTTGATGGGTTGGGTAGATTTAATACATTTACGAGTATTTCAACATTCCCCTCATGGATTTGAAAAATTGCAATAAAACCCAACAGGTGGAAATCATAATAAATGGGGAGGAAATAACAAGTCGCGATATCATATTAAAGATCCTACGTTGAAAAAGATAAACGATACAAAAAAGGTTTACAAGGTTTATACATACACTACTCCTCTCATTATCAATTTGTTTTAAGATAGAACTCTATAAATATTAATATGATATCTTTACCAAAGACACGAAAATTTTAGAAAATTTTGGGTTTGAAAAATCGAGTCGTCTATTTTTTTAAATAAACAATACCTAGCAAATTATCAAATGAACTCAAACAGAATTGTCTTTTGTTCTAGATCTGTGAACTTTTTTCCAGAATATTTATAAACTAAAACAAGCCAAAAACTTTTAGCTAGGACGTAAAACCATCCCATAACTATTTTCTATCTTATTTTATAAATCAAATCGAGTGAGAAATATTATTTCTAACAACACCCCATCCACTCGATTCTACCAATTTCTTTATTTTCTCAAATTGAGCTTGAAACCCTAAATTAAGCAAAACTTATCAACGTGTCTGTATATATTGTTGCAAACTAACAAAATTTATGATAATATTAGCTTAGCTCAGCCATAAATGAAATCTACAATATTGTAACAAATATTGATTCTCGTTTTAAGACCTAAATTCGTCCTCTTTTTAACTCTTGTGTCTGCTAAAAGAAAATAAGAAAAAACCTCTCTTTAATCTCTCAACCTTATTTTTTACAATAACCGCATACACCATTCAATGTATGTGGTACCAAATTTGAGGTCACTTGATCATTTGTTATTATTATTTATTTAAAAGAAAAAAGAAAAAAAACGTTGTCGCTAGCTCCCACTTTGTTCTTGAATCTTTTTGCCCTCCTAGTTTTGTCATGTTAGTTTGATCCTCCACATTCGTAATTATTGAACTAAAAAACCACTTGATCATTTGTTATTATTGTTTATTATAAAAAAAAGCTATTGCTCTCACCTTGTTTGACTTAAATCATTTTGCCCTTTTTGTTTTGCCATATTAGTTTGATCCTCCACATTTGTAATTATTGAACTAAAAAACCACTTGATCATTTGTTATTATTGTTTATTTAAAAAGAAGAAGAAGAAAAAAGAAAAACTAACTGTCGCTCTCACCTTGTTTGACTTGAATCATTTTGCCCTACTAGTTTTATCACGTTAGTTTGATCCTCCACATTCGTAATTATTGAACTAAACACCCACTTGATCATTTGTTATTATTGTTTATTAAAAATAAAAATAAAATAAAAGCTATTCTGTTTGACTTAAATCATGTTGCCATATTAGTTTCATCCTCCACATTTGCAATTATTAAACTAAAAAACCACTTGATCATTTATTATTATTGTTTATTTAAAAAGAAGAAGAAAAAAAGAACTAACTTTCCTCTCACCTTGTTTGACTTGAATCATTTTGTCCTCCTAGTTTTGTCATGTTAGTTTGATCCTCCACATTCGTAATTATTGAACTAAAAACTCACTTGATCATTCGTTATTATTGTTTATTACAAAAAAAAAAAACTATTGTTAGTTTGATCATCCACATTCATAATTATTGAACTAAAACACTAGTAGAAAGTCGGCCTTCAATGACAGTTAAATTCTTTCATTAACATAATTCATGACAATTATATAACTGTCATCTATTAAGGCATCAAGAGAGAGGGGAAGATGACAAATTTGAAAAATGTATTTACAATTACAGTTATAGTTTGTCATCAATAGATTTTCCATCACAAGTAATAAATGTCACATAAAGTCATTTAATTACAATTTATAAGTGTTAATTAAACAATCAAATATTTTTGTTCTCCTGTAAATAAATACCTAAAGACGACAGTTTATAAATTGTCATGAACTAGTATTTAACGACAGTTAAAGATTGACATGAATTTTTTTTAAATGACTATTTATAATTATCATGAAAACTTTTGTAGTGATAGTTTTAACAGTCAATATTGCCAGTTTTAACTATCACAAAAAATTGTATAATGACAACTTAAAAATGTTATGCAACATTAAACAATGACATTCGATATATGTCACGGAAAGGTTTACAACGACAATTTAAAACTATCATGATATACTTAATAATGTCAACATTTAATTGTCAAGAAACGATTTTGAATGTTTTTTTTTTGTCACAAAACCTAATTTGTCAACATTTAAAGATGTCGCTCTCACCTTGTTTGACTTAATATTTTTGCCCTCCTAGTTTTGCCATGTTAATTTGATCCTCCACATTCACAATTATTGAACTAAAAAACCACTTGATCATTTGTTATTATCGTTAAAAAAAAAAAAAGTTGTTGCTCTCACCTTGTTTGACTTAAAATCATTTGTAGTCTTATCATGTTAGTTTGATCCTCTACATTCGTAATCATGAACTAAAAAATCACTTGATCATTTGTTATTATTGTTAAAAAAAAAAGAGAGAGAAGAGTTGTTGCTCTCACATGATTGTAATTATTGAACTAAAGGACCACTTGATCATTTGTTATTATTGTTTAAAAAAAAAAAAGTTGTTGCTCTCACCTTGTTTGACTTAAATCATTATTTTACCCTTCTAGTTTTGCTATATTAGTGTGATCCCCCATTGTAATTATTGAACTAAAAAACCACCTGATCATTTCTTATTATTGTTTATTTAAAAAAGAAAAAAAAAACGTTGTCGCTCTCACTTTGGTTCGACTTGAATCTTTTTGCCCTTGAACTAAAAAAGTTAAAATATATTATTATAGACATCTAAATCTTTCTCAAAATGGCAATCAATTTGATCATAGAGGCAACACCTTAACGTAATTGAGGGCAATTATACTAGTTAAAGCATAAGCTATAATTTATAAATTTAGGTTATACGCCCACCGGAGCACCCTTTTATACATTTATTTTCAAACATTGATATTTATAAAATATATTGAAAAATATGTTTTGTGTATCGATATTAGATCTTCTAGTTTTAAACAAGGTTTTAGATGGAAATGTTAAGGTCTCAATTTCAAACAAAATGTCGATGGATGGATATTTACATAAAAATTAGATAAATTAAAAAATCGTAAAAAATATTTAAATTAACAAATAAACATTTTTCTATTTCTAAATAAGTTAAAAATATTAATATTAATAGAATGTATATATTAATTTTTCATATTCGGTCAATTCTTTTGTAATAGGATGGAAATGCCGATTTAACCCTAATGTCAATGTCGAACCATAGATACAATAGATGGACATATCGACGGATATTTAATACCATCATTCTAAACTATCCGGGCCACCTCCTGTTTTGAAATTTATAGAAAGATAAAATACAGAAAAATCTGTTTGTTCTTAATCAAATCATGTTGCTCTCCCTCGCTAGTATGAACTACATTATATATGTATCTCTTTCAGTCGGAGCTAGTGGCTGCTAAAATAAAAGAAGAAAAAACAACTCTCTTTATCTCCAACTTTAATTTTTTCGATAATGAGATCAGGTCTGCAACTCAGAGAGAATCCAATGTATGTGGTACCAAATTTGAGTTCATTGGTTAATTTACTATTATTTTTTCATTTCAAATCAAACAACTTTGTCGCTCTTCCCTCATTTCTGTGATGGAATCCATATTAGAGTTGTAAGAAATTAATGATAACAAAGTCGTACGTTCATTAGAAAATGGATTGATCATGATAATTATTTCTATTGTGTGATGTTTAAGAGAATAGATGAACCCGCGCTACATTTTAATGAGAGGGATCTTGAGATCATGGAAGCATGACTAAGATCAAAAGCTTAAACGAATTGATAATTACTAGATATATACTAATAAGATTCACATTTTCTTTTCGATAATGTGAGCAATCTTGGATTTGACGACCTCTTTAGAGATATTGTCAGGAACAAATCATCATGCAAAAAAGTTCGTTAATGCAATTTTTTTTTATGGTGGAAAATTGGAAATCGAAAGGGTTTACTATTTTCTTTAAGTATATATTTCTTATTTATTTATTTATATATAATATGTTAAGTACGTATGGTCATGTATGTAAAAAGAAGTTTCTAGGAAAAGTATATGTCGTTCAGTCCAACGTTTCTAAATTTCATTTATTCATAATTCAACTTATTAAAGATGAATAACTAATCATTCAACCCAAAAACTTAAGTTGATGGGTTGGGACTTAAAAAATACAACAATAATCTGGCAAATTATTAACAATTCACATAAATAATCCACGAACTATTAAACAACATAATTGTTAATAAACTTTTTTTAATCAATAATAAACCATTTAATTTCTATCTATTATTTAATGGAAACAACTAAATTTCGTGAACAACCACAAGGACATTAGCGCATTGGATGGATCTCCAAATATCTTCATTTCCTTTAAAAGAAAATTCCGTGTCTATTTATTCACTTTAATTAAATTTGGTGTCTATTTATTCACTTTAATTTTGTTTTTTCACTTTTAGATATGTTGAAGAATAATTTGTTGAATTTTGTTTAATTTCTAATAAAAAATAATCGTAAGTTTTGTTTTAGTTGTTATTTGACATTTAGTCGTTTCCATTAAATAATAGATAGAAATTTTTTCTAATTATTCTGAGTCTTTAGATATTTTTCTATTCATTCTTAGACACGATTTTACGTACTATGGCCCTAACAATTTTTATTATTACCCAATCAATATAGTTGGTAGAGTAATTGAAGAATAATTAGATAGAAATTCTTAATTTTTATTTAACAATAATAGTAACTTTTCTTTTAATTATTATTTGTCATTTAGTTGTTTCTATACAATAATAAATATAATTTCTTTCTAATTTTTTTTATTAGAGTCTACAAATATTCTTCTATCCATTCTTATATAAACAACACGATTTTCTATTTATATGAGGTATATATGTACTATTACCTTAATAATCTATATTATCACCTCAACCACAAAGTCATAATTTGGTAGAGCAGTTAAAGAATAATCTGATAGAGTAGTTGAAAAATAATTTGGTAGAAACTTTAACTTCTATTGAACAATAAACAATGAATTTTATTTGTTAAGGATCTCACGCTAAACAAAAAAAAATAGATCTTACAATCAAACAAGCAATCGATTTAGAAATGGGATCCGATCAAGATTGATAAGTCAAAAGAGCCACGATCGAGGACATGTTAAAGATCTCACATCGAACAGAAAATGAACCAGCTTACAATGGTTTATAATAGACGTGGACTACTCCTCTTATTATCAATTGGTTTTGTGATGAAATCTCATGAATATTGATAAACTTGGACCAACTGTACAATTTTTTTTGTTTAAAAAAATCGACACGCTACCTACTGGCTTTATTATTATTATTATTATTATTATTATTATTATTATTATATATTTTTGGATGTATTTGTTGATCCAGCCTCGAAGATGAATCGTGAATTCATGACGTTCAGCACCTAACGGCCACCAAACTTAACAGAGATAACAAATATCAAAATTAATTATATAATTGAAAAAAACTCGAAATAGCAATTAAGTTTAAAAAGCACGTGCGGAAATTAACAATTTCTATAAAAAGAAACAACAGAAGGGTAGATGTAGAACATTCATAGATCCTTAATTTTCCTCCAAGTGACCATCTGCGCAACCAAAAAATGAGCTGCTCCCTGTTGAATCCGCTCCGAGTTGGTTCGGGTAGATGCCAACTCCCAAAGCAACATCCAAGCCAGCGTCCTTCCTTGAGTATACATTTTCCCAGTGCTTTGTCACGGTAATTAAGCATAATCCATCTTTGTTTTGGTGTAGTTTTTATACTATAGATCACAGTTAATGTTAATAATCATAACTCATAATCTATTGTAACAAGGGAATGAAGATAATTACGTAGATTAAGATAAGATATTGTAGCTAAACTATGAGTAAGAATAAGATACTATAACAAATGTTATTCTCGTTTTATTTACTTCAGTCATGGATGGAGAACAAAAATGGTTGGACCAGTGAGACCTAAATTCGTCATCTTTGGCTCTTCCATAGTTCAGTTCAGTTTTGACGATAAAGGATGGGGTGCTGATATTGCCAATTTGTATGCCCGCCAGGTATATTGATGCTTTTGTCTTTGGTTAACACCATGGTTCTAAAAATGGCTCAATATTGACATGGGTGGAAAATCCTTTTTCCCCTTTGTCATCGACATGTCGACAAAAATATCGCTTTTTTGTTTTTAGGCTTCCTATTTTTCTCTCATCCGACGCATGAAATAATCCAAAGTTAAAAAGCATGCAACAGAGAAAGAAAATTTAAGGAAGAAAACACAAGACCCAAAAGCAGGTTCGTGGAAATAGATTAGAGAAAAACACAAACATATGTGAGTATAAAGAGAGAGAGGAACGGTGTTTGTTTGGGTGCATAATTTTCTTCCTTTTTCCTTTGTTCTCACTCCTTTTCTTTAATTTTGTAAATTCGTAACGGGACGGGAATCGAAGGATCGGTAAGTGGACTCAGACATTTGAAGCCGTTTCTTTTACTCGATTTGAACGTGGTCTTTTTTGTCAAAATTATTTTAAAAGATTAAAAAAGCTAAATTTAATTGTAAAAAATCTAACAAAATCTTAAAAACTCAATTATAAAAAAATATTGATTTAAAAATAAAAACAAACTTTAAAATTAAATTTAACTAATAAAATTATCTATCGATTCGTAAAATCGAGACCTCAAGATTTTCATCGACATCGATATCTTGAACTTTGACGACTATTGATATCTATAGAGAAGAAATAATATTGTTGGAACACATGAGTTTTTACTTTTAATTAGCGATTACTATATTAAATTGCTACTAAATTCCAAAGGCTAAACCTAATGGGTTAAAAGATAAATTTAATTTTTAATTGTGGATTTTTAACACTCGTTTATTTTAATCCAAACTCCACAGGCAGATGTTATTTTACGTGGCTATGCTGGTTGGAGTTCAGACCAGGCTCTAAAAGTTGTGGATAAAGTCTTTCCAAAGGTACGCCAAAACTATGCTGCTCATAATGTTAAGCAAATGCATCTCCTACTTTTGACATTAAGATATAAAAGCCCCTAATTTAATAGTGGAAAATTTCACGAGATGGGGAGGGATGGACATGGAAGTTCCCCATCCCTACTCAATCTTGTAAACACTCTTCTTACCTGTACATACAGAATTGAAATTTTGAATATTTATTAAGATAACTTTTTTAAATTTTCAACAACTCGTTTTTTAACCTTATATAGTGTCTTCACAAAAGACTTTAAAAGGATTGGGAAGTAAGTTATGTATGATATTTTTGTTAATTTGGGTTAATTATTGAATTAGGATTCAACCATCCAACCTGCTCTGGTGATAGTCTACTTTGGTGGTAATGATGCATCCATTAATTTTCCTAATTCCGTGCCACTTGATAGATTCACGGACAACATGACCAAGATTGTCGATCATATCAAGGTCAACTATTCTTATGTTTTAATATCTAAAAAATAGCTTTCATTTAGATGTATCTATTTTAAACAGTAAAAATAAAATTATTATAGTTACACAAAGTTTAATCGTCTTGAATAACAGTGCCTCTCGACAACGACTCGCAGCATCTTCCTCACACCACCACCGATAAACAGTGAGCAACTTAAACAGCTTATGTGAGTGTATAGAATCATATATTTATTGAATTTGTTTAACATGCTTCAATTAATGTTATTTTTCCTCGCCTCATATCATTTTATTTTCTTGACATGACTTCAGGCCGGGACTTGAGAAGCTTCGAACGATGGAGAATCTTGAACTCTATGCGGATGCATTAATTGATATTTGTAAGAAGTTAGGTGTTGAATATGTTGATTTGTTTCGGGCCATTCAGAATAAAGAAGATTGGCTAACTTTCTTCAGGTTAGTTCACCACATAACCTTGAATTTAGAAGAAAAAATTATATTCAAATGGCAGATAATATATTATATATATATTTCTTTATTTCAGGGATGGAGTCCATTTTAACGAAAAAGGAAGTAGAGCAGCTTTTGATGAAATTAAGAATATGATTAACAAGAAGAATTGGACTCCAAACTTGGATGCGAGAGCCATGCCAATTGAATTTGAAGATATCTAAGGACTACGTTCCTTTGAATTTGATGATTCAACTATGCTCTCATCTTAGATTTCAATAAAGGATGGACCGTCGGTGGGATCCAAAAATATAAATTATTGCTTATGTTTTAATTAGTTGAATTGTGTTTGATTATTATTAAAATAATTTAGCCAACAATAATTATCTGCCAAAGAAATAGAATGTTACCAAACTTATTCATAATTAAATATTTTTATTTTTGTGGATACTGTTTCTTTTTTAATATAGTTGATCTTTAAATAACCGTAGTCACTATTGTGTTGTGGTTTTACTCTATTACAATTTCTAATTGGTGTTACATTTTAATATTTATTTAAATATGAGTTTCTTTTTATTTAATTTGAGAGTTTAAGGATTGAGATGTTTTATCAAATTTTGTAAAACGTATTTTAAAATAAATTAAAAGAAACTTATTAAATTTTCTATTAAGTTACACCATGAAGTTTCTTATAACTACCTCTCCCCCTAAACTCTCAAGATACAACCCATTCAACATATCTTCTATATTTGTTACTTTCTCTACTTTGCTTTTGCATGGTGGTTTAAGCTGCACAACGTTTCAGTTGGTTGTTGTATCCTGGAGAGGACAGGCCAGAGAATACCTGTTGCACCGGTGGTTGATAAAGAAATACCCACCGCAGAGGGCTTGAATCTCTTAAAAGAGCGATATACACACGCCTCAACCAAATTGATTACGTGTTTGTTTTCTCAATATTTACTTCATTTACCTCTGTTATTTGTAATTCCCCTATCACTAATGATGATGATTTGATTCTCCACATTTGTAATTATTGAACTAAAAAAGTAAATTATATCATTGTAGACATCTCCACCTTTCTCAAAATGACAATTAATTTGATCCTACATTCTTATATAGTTGCAACGCGATGGCATAATTGAGCACAACTCAACTAATTAATAAACTCAACTAATTAATAAGTGTTTAATATGTTCTTCAACTTTGAATTGTGTCTAAAAAGTTTCTAATTTTTAAAAATGTCTGACAATTCTTTAAACTTCTAAATGTCAAATAAGTTCTTGAACTTTCAAAGTTTTCTCATATATATATATATATATATAAAAGCTCATAATCCAATAATGAAAAATTTCACGGGATGGAGATTTAAATATCGGCCGGGGATGGGGATGAGGGAGTTCCTCGTCCCTACCCAATCCCACAAACACCCTTATCTATTAGGTGCAAAATTGAAAATTTAAACATTTATTAGAAATTTTTTAAATTCAATAACTTTTTTTTTCTTAACCATATATACAGTTGTTAAGATCTCAATTTGTTGCGCTAGGATTCAATCATCCAACCATCTCTGTTGATAGTCTACTTGGGTGGTAATGATGCAACCATTGTTTTTAACGTAACAGTTGATAAATTCGCGGACAAGATTGCCAACCATATCAAGGTCAACTATCCCTTAAATCTAATCCCATTTTGCCTTTTGTTTTGTTGGATTGGTAACACTACTTTCACGCCTCCTACCTATGATGTTTTACTATCTAAAAAATAGCTTCATTTTTCAGTGCTTCTCGATAACGACTCGCAGTATCTTCCTGACACTACCACCGATAAAAAGTAAGCAAATTAGGTGCGAGTGTAGAATCATATATTTATTGAATTTGTTTAACATACTTCAATTAATGTTATTTTTCCTCGCCTGATATTATTTTGTTTTCTTAATTGACTCAACTCGGAATTTAGGAAGTTTCGAACGATGGAGAACCTTGAGATCTATGCGGATGCATTAATTGACGTTTGTAGGGTGATAGGCGTTCAATATATTAATTTGTTTCGTGTCGTTCAGAAGAACAATAATTGGCAAACTTTCTTTAGGTTAGTTCATAATAAAATCTTAAATTTTTTTTAAAGAATTACATGCGAAAAAGATATTTTATATATATATATATATATATAATTTTTTTTTTTCAATTTCAGAGATGGAATTCATTTTAATGAAGAAGGAAGCCGCATGGTTTTTGAAGAAATTAAGAATACGATCAACAAGATGAATTGGACTCCAAACTTGGACGCAAGATACATACCACCTGAATTCGAACATATCGTAGGACTAGTTCCTTTGATTTTGAAGGCTTGGACATCATTCTAGATTAATTTTAACTACGGCTCTACATTCTATGTTCTCTTTTTAAACTTCTATAAATGGCGGCCTATCAGTAGGATCCAAACTTATAAATTATTGTTTATGTTTTAATTGGTTGAATTGTGTTAGTTAAAATAATTTAGCCAACAGTAAATTATCTGCAATAGAAATTTCGTTTTATGAATGATGCTTTAGCGGGCGATGTTATATATATATATATATATAATGTTAATAGGTTTTTTCTTTTTTTTTAAGTACTGTTACCATCTCTGAAAGAGACGACCATATATGCCCGCCAACTTGATCATGTCTTGAAGAAACGACCTAGTTTTAATTTTTGAAAAAAAAATCAAATGTGGCGTTAGATTGGCGCCATACGCCACTTCATAGGTCGTCTACAACAATTTTCTAAGCTTTATTTTTTTTTTTCTGCAAAGGCCAAAAGTTTATTTATTTTTTCTAAGCTTTATTTGCAGTGGCATATATCTGGAATAAGTTTCAAAAATGACATTATTAAAAAAAAGAATTCCATTTTTTTTTAATTAAAATAGACGAGAAACAATTAACAGCAAATAGAAAGTTACCAAACGGTCCATTGATACACTTTTATTATTGTTGATACTGTTTTTTCTTTTCCTAATTTTAATTGATCTTCAAATGCCTGTAGACTGTAGTCACTGTGTGGTAGTTCGGTTTTAGCTGTTGAATTACCGTTTTGCCCTCTTCTGTTTAATGGGTCTAATTACTTGGGCTCAGCCCATACCCATGCTTCATTGGGCTCCTCCAGCGGTCAAAGTAGCCCATCTCGTAGCTACTCGAGCCCGAGACATTTCAGATAAGCAAATCTTATAAGAATGGCAAAAGAAAAAAAAAAAATATATATATATATATGTAAACTAGGTCAAATAAATAAACTATTAACATGTAAATCGACTGAGTAAATGTTAGTCTATTACAGCTTAGAGAGAAATGATGAAGGAGAAACCTATGTACAATATTGAGTAGATTTGAATAACTCTTGAAATTTGTCCAATAATCTTACATTATACAATTTATATATATATATATATATATATATAATTTAATATTTTAAATGTTCAGTCAAATATAGAATAATGATGATGGGTACTTATTTTTTCTTTTGAGGTCGAAGGTCAAATCCCAATAATTCCAAATAATAAATCTACTATTCTCCACGTAAATATTGGCTAGGCATTTGACGTCTCGGAATTGACGATTGTAATGTCCTCTAGAAAAAAAGTTACATCAACATTAAAAAAATAATAATAAAATAAAATTCAAGAAATGTCAAAACGTGATATCATAATGTTATTGAGGATATTAGTTTGAGGACGCACCATTGGTTAAGAAAAAACATGTTGCAATGACAACATAGAACAGAAGGAGAATAAGTCCCTTCAAGTAGTGAGAAGTTCCCTCCTATTTAATAAGAAGCACAAAATTAGCGCACAAATGATTTCTTCATTAATTTTTTTAAAATAATTAACTAAATATATATTTTTCTCAATTTAGACCCTTCTTATATATCATATATCATGGACAACCAATTTTTTAACATTCACTCACGGTGAGAGATTTAAACTAAAAATAAAAAAAAATTAAATTGTAGTCATCGCTAATGCATATATTTAGTCGGAAAAAAATAGATAATTTTAAATTTTTTTCACAAAATGAAAAACAAGAAGCATTATAAATCTAGAAAAAGTGTACCTGTAAAATGGATGATGAAGCCATTATTGAAAGAGCAAGAGAGGCAGTTTGAAGGATATTAAAATCAAGATCCATATTCATTCCCATAACCCAAGCAACTATTACACATAAAGGAACCTGAAATTTAAGAAGAAATAAGGAGGCATTAATTAACCCAATAAGCTAATTTTCTTCCCACTTCCTTCAATTCTATGCTCTCTTTTAAATTATAGTAATTAATTAGTTCTTGAAGAATAAGCTATAAATAAAAATTTCTCAAAAAAAAAAAAAGAAACAATTAAGAAATAAAAATTTTATCAAACCAACCCCTAAATTATTTCTTACCACAAACATAGCAATTTGAGTTGCAGACCCTAAAGCAACACCTAAAGTTATATCCTGCATTTTGCCACCAAAATGTGATAAAATTTAAAGTTATATATATATATATATATATATATATATATATCACATGATAATGGGAAATGGGAATTATATTAATTAATTAAGGGTATTAATTAATTAAGGGCTTACCAACTTGTTTTTATAAGCGAAAATGACAGCTCCTGCATGCTCAGCTGCATTTCCAACTATTGGTAGTAAGATTATGCTAAGGAACCCAACTGATAAACCCCAAGTTTCTGATGCATCCTGATTAATTAATTTCATGTAACATGAAACATTACAACTTTATTAACTGAGAATTGTGCATACGAAAATAAAATTTAACTCCTATATATTTAATAAGTACTTGAAGGATTTATTTATATTATATGCACAATTTTATTCTCAAATTTGTTAATGTTTTTGCAATTACCTCAATTGTAGCCACGACGTACTCAGACAATAAAGCAACAATAATAGTAACAATCACCAGCCACGCCACCGTGCTCCACATTCCTATCGTCGGAACCTCTTCCACAACGTCGTCATCGTATTCATACGGTTCCTGATCAGAATATTAGATATCCAATATATGAATTAAATTTACCTAATCCATCGACTTAAATTTTTGGATTGAGTGGTGGTTTATTCATCCTTAAGAGATCGAAGCAGAACGAGAAATCATGTTTATGTGTTTGAACTCAAAGTTTTTGTTTGGATTTTTCGATCAGTTTTATTTTGGTTGGTTAATTAATTACCTTGTCTTCTTCAAACAATTGGCGATGATGAGGCAAGAGTTGAAAGCTCAAGTAGGCGAAGTATGCCACCAACATTACTATACTACCGGCTCTAGACAATCGGAGCCTACCAACTCCGGCCACGTCAGCAGACGCTCCGGCGTAACGGAACAGCAACGGAAGCGAAAAGCATAGAAGCGCCAACAACAGCATCTGCGAGTTCACCTCAGCTTGCCTCTGTCAACGAAAATAATATATGCAACCACTTTTCTTTTTACTTTGTTTTTTTTTTAAGTCTATCACAAAATACACTTACGAACCAAGCAGGGAGACAATCGACTTTTTAGGTTCCAATTATTGATTCAAATTTTTTTTTCAAAGGATTCAAATAATATTTTGGTCCATGTTTACTCATTTTGATTCCAATATTTTTAAAATGGGATTGTTTTAGTTTTGTTTGCAAAATTCTAATATAAATTCAGCACATAATAAAAAGAAAAAACATTTGACGGTAGAGTCCTACAATATTTTTAAAAAAAACCATTAACTGGTTAAAAATTTTATCAAAGAAATGAAAATAAAATTTTTAGAGTAGAAAAGTCAAAACGAATGTTTTGAGGTATGGATACTAAAATTATGAAAAGATACCTGGATCTACTTTATATTGAAAAGTTATGATATTATGGTCATTATCTTCATTTTGTCTTTCTAAATATTAGAATTGAGAGACTATATATATAAAAGGTTGAATTATAGAGATTTGTTACTAACCCAACTCCCGAGATGTGAAACTATTGGAATACATGGAAAAAAAAAAGATAAATAAAATGTAGAAAATTACTCGATCATAAATTTGCTCCTTTTTAAGATTGACGATGCCACCAAAGAAGAGGGAGGATCCAAGAACTAGAAGAAGGTTTGAAAGAACCGATCCCACAAGAGAATACTTCACCAACTCAATCTTATGCTTACTAAGAGCAAATATTGCTATTATTAGCTCCGTGGCGTTGCCACATGTTGCATTTAGTAGCCCACCAACTAAAAAAAATACACCAAAATTCCAAAGCATAAACATATTAATTTGATCAAAGTCAACATTGATAACGATGTCTACCTTTTTATTTAAGCATGAAATTCAAATTATCACACCACATATATAGTAAAGAATACAAATAAATCTACATTTAATTACAATTTACATCTTAAATTTTTCAAAAAAAACTCGATTATTATGTGAAACGACTTGGAGATATTTATAACGTTTAAAATAATTTTTTATACTTATTTCTCTAAAAAACAAAAATAAGAAGTAATTTAATCAAAATAACCCATCATTTCACAAAGACCGACTAACTAACTATTCTGATGTCTTGTCGTGATTAAAAAAACAAAAAATAATTATTATGTGAAATAATTTGGACTAAGAAACTGAAAGGGAAGGAGAGCCAAAATGGGCGTCGGCGTTGGTAGCAATTGTCAAGGGAAATGACAAAAGTAACCTTCATTGATCTTAGAGATTAAAGACTAATGCTGGGTTATTAAAGGAAAGAAATTTACCTGTTGGGCCGGTGAAGTACGAGATTTGTCTGCAATTTAATGCATGTTACAATTACATTAATGAAAAATGTAGGAAATTAATTACGTTAAATATTATTTGATTAATTAAAAGAAATGGAAAGACCGTTTCAGGCTTACTCGGTCAGAAAGCTGAGGCGTTCAGCAAGTGGAGCGAGGCCCAATAAGCTAAGAACGAAAACCCATGGCTGAAATATAATTTCAAGCAATCAGAGGGGCAATTGTGTCTCAAACATAAAAATATCAAAAGCACACGTGTCGGAATATTCCACTTACTCTTCCGAAGCCAAAGGAGGCGGCCAAAATAGCCGCCGGAATCGCCGGAAAAAGTACACAAATCCTGGTCCCCAAAATGACCTCCTGGAGATTCACAAGAAAAACCCTTAGGCAACCGAAACGAACCTTGGAAACGAGGGCTAAATCGGACCTTTTCCGCAGCGTGGAGGACGACACGTTGTGAGCCGTCCGACCGTGCCTCAGCGAACCCTTGACGACGCCGTTTTCCAAGATCGGCGTTCCTGGTTCGAGATCCATGATCAGCTGCAACACGTAGTACGGTACGAAAACGGAGGCCTTGTGAAATTGAAAGTCACCTTGCAAAAGTTCGTTGATACAATTTGTTTCTTTTTTTTTTTATAGTGTAAAATTGGAAATGGAAAGCGTTTACTATTCTTTTCTTTTTTTTAAGTATATTTTTCCTCTATTTATTTATATATAATATGTTAAGTACGTATCATCATGTGTATGTAAAAAGAAGTTTCTAGGGAAAGTTTCTCTCTTTCAGCGCCGGTCTTTCTAAATTTGATTTATTCATAATTCAAACTTACAATGGAAGTCTATTAAAAAAAAGGAGTATATACAATAATATGATAAATAAATATATAAATATTATCTATTTGTATATAACTCAACTGGTTAAGGTAATATTTATGACTAAAAGATGTATTGACATCAATAATCGGTGAACTATTCAACAATACAATGGTTATAAATTTTTTTGAATTAATAATTAACCATTTAATTTATGAAAAGGATATTATTAAATGAACTAAATTTAAATCTAAAATTCAAATTCATCTAGGAAGGAAACAATATTAATATATTTAAAGTTACCTATTTTCTAACGTAATAATAAGATGTTATTTTTTTAGTTCAACTATTAGATATAAGATTAGTAGGAATAATTATTGTCCTATGTATTTTTAACATGTTGACCCTCACATTTATGATGTTATTTACTTAAAAAAATTATCATATATTTTCCTTAAAAATGATTACATATACTTCATTGTGATTATGTATAATGAGATATCTACAACCTAACCATTATGTTTTGTTATTTCGTTTACATAACTGAGCTGAAAAAAGGGTAGGCATCTTAACGTGGGCTATAAGATCAGATGGCCCATAAGCCCATGGCCTATTAGGTTTTACGACCCAATTGATGAGGTACAAATTTTTATTTTTATTATTTTGTAATTGGGGGTGGGAGGATGAGATAGGATTCTTCACTATAAGTCTTAATTTGATAGCTTATTTGAGCACTATATTTCTCTGACTAAATGGTCGTGCATTCGAATTTCTACTTACACATATCGTTATATTAAAGAAACAGTCTTAACATACTTTATTAACATATTTCGACACATTGACATATCATTAGAAAAGAAAATTTTGATTGGTCGAATTTTGCTTGAAAGAGTTGAATTTTATGTGTTAATGTATCAGGTAATATTTAAGTCAGCAATACAATGTTAGCTCAGCGGTAGTTGACATTTGTCTTTGATCAATAGGTCATGAGTTCGAATCTCTCATCTCTATTTGTTGTACTAAAAAAAATTAGCAATACAATGTCATGTATTCAAATATATTAATGAAACAATAACTAAATGAACCATTACCTTGGAATAATTAGTTATTTAATCTCTATTTGTAAAATTTTAACACAAGTTATATAAACCACATAAACTATTTAATATAAAATTATGACTATATTTAAAAAAAAAATTGAGTATGTGTCGTATTGAATAGAAAATATAATGAACAGAGCAAAATGAACCTTTCGAAAGTATAGAGACTACGATAGATAAAAAAAAATTAAAAATACATGAATCAAAATAAATATTTTAGAAGCATGCAAGTCCAAATAAACCAAAATATAAAGAGAAAAAAGAAACCTCCAAATCCAAAGTATCCAAACATTTGTCATTTGTGTCCCATGCAAATGCATCTCCCTCCCTCGTTTCCACTCTCGATTTTAGCATTGGACACCACGTTTCAACAACCTCCCTTCATAATTATTCCACCTTGACATTAAAAACAAACAAAAATTTCTTCCAACTTGAGATTTTTTGTTCTTCTTCTAAAACGACCAATTCGCAGAACTCGATTTTTTCTTTCCCTCTTCCTTGCCTAAACTCCTTAGTTTGGACCATACATGTGTAGAAAAGCTTATTTTTTAAAAGCCTTTATTAGTGAATTTACCTTTTTGTTTTTCCCCTGTTTCTACAGTGGAGATAGTCGCACGTTATATTACAACTATATTATTAAAAGTTTGTGGTAAGAACGAGTTTCGCTTTAGTGTCCGAAAATAATATTCCAAAACTTTCATATGTTCGTCATTTCTTATGTGAATAAGATTGATATATAGATATATAATTGATTAAAAGATTGAGTTCGAATTCGCACTCCTATATGTTATTATACTGAAAAAAGTCTTTCATCTGTATTAGAATTTGAACGGTGAGGTTTTGTTTTTTAATTTTGATGAAAGTCAACGCAAATATATGATCTTCCAACTTGTTAAGACATTCTTTTTCTAGGTTTGAAGATCATTGTTCAACTTGAAAAGAGAAAAAGAAAACACTCATTTAACATTAATTTTTATATACGTGTTTTATCGTTATTTAATTATTGAAACAAAATATCAAGAATGTTTGATTAAGAAAATGACCAAAGATGGTGAAGTTCGGAATTGGTGTGATCGACGAATGGAGGGACTTGCAAAAAAGAGAAAGTGATCCGTACTAATTACCTGATCTATTTGCTCGAGAGAGAATAGTTCCATGTAAGGGTCATTGCTTGTTCCACGTAACTTGAACCCAAGATTTTAAGGATATTTTTTGAGGCCTCAAGCCATCCAAGCTATCCTTGAAGATAGGAAATAATTAACATTAACCCAACAAGAGTTCAAATTGAACGAGTCTAAAATTAAATTAAAATGCTAATCGAAATTTGTTTTCTTATTTTAAAATTTTACATTAAAAAAAAGGAACTTTAACAACACTTATAGAAAATAATAATTTAGTAGCATTTTAGAGGGTCAAATAAATAAATCTTTTTTATTGTATTTAAATTTTGTGTATTTATCTAAATAAATAGTTTAACTAACAATTGCCAATTCGTCGATATTTGAATTACCTAGAAAAAAGTAGGTTGCATTAAACTTTAGTCGTTATTTTCAAATTGTTCTTTTTTTTTTTAAATTTCTCTAACCATTCTTTTCAAAGGTTGAAGGATAGGAACTTCTTTTGTTAAAATTTTAAAATATTATTTCCTAAAAAAAAAGGTAAAAACTAAAATATTGATAGATCTATTCATTCAAAAAAAAAACTTCATAACACGTATTTTTTTCCTTTAAGAACGTCATAGATTGTAGTTGAATTGCTTCGTAAAATAATAATAAGAAAAGAGTGATACTATTTGTATAAAAATATATATAAATATATAAAGAGTCAAAGTATAATTCAACCAGTTAAGATATATATATTGATCAAGAGATCAAGATTTCAATATATGTGTATGCATGCATGTATCTATATATATATTCTTGGAAGGTTCATAATTTTAATTAATCAACTATATAATATGATTGAAGATTGGATTCTTTCGATTAATCAATTATTTTAAATAGCACGATTATTTTGTGGTTCGTTTCATTTTATTATTGTGCGAAAGAAAGAGAAGTTTTCATTTTATTATATGGGAATAAAGAGCAAATATAGGAATAGGTGTCTTCTTTTTCCAAGTGGTGGCGTTTTCTTTTTCTTTTTCTTTTTCTTTTTCTTGTTCTTTTTTCCCCTTTTCCCTTCTTAATTCACAACACTTTTTTTAATAGCTTTTTTTTTTTACATTCACAACACTTGGCGGGATGTTTAAAGTAAGATTTGAAATGTCGATATCGATAAAAATATCGAGATCTCGGTTTTACGGACATGTCGATGTCGATGGATATTTGGGAAAAAGTCATGAAAATTGTGAAATTTAAGAAAATTTGTTTTAATTAGTAAAAAGAATTTTAATTGTAGCTTAATTAAGCTATAATTAATCACTTCTAACCCTCACATGTATTGAGTAACTTACATATGAAAATGTCGATGTCGATAGAAATATCGGAATAAGATAATGAAGATTGATGGAAATAATTTTAATTAGTAAATTGAAGTCGAATAGTGCTTAGTTATATTTTATTGATAATTTGTAATTTATAACTAAATTTAGTGTTTAGTTACCTAATTGAATAAGGTAAAAAATATTGATATATATAATATACACATACACATGTACCATTATTAAAAATAGAAGGATAGGTTAGAAAAATTTGTAATTAAATTTGAAAAGAAAAAATTAGGATCAATAGAAAATAAATACTAGCCAGATAAATTTAAATAATAAAATAATAGTAATATTATTATCATCAGAAGAAAAAAGAAAAAAAAAAAAAAAAAGTGGCGTACCCCCCAGATGCCCAACAATTCCACATGAAAAGGGACTCAATCCCACATGGAGGAGGGACTGGGGAGAGGGGAGCCCCCCATCCCCAACGTTCCTCGTCTATCCAGCCCCCCTCACTTTCTTCATCTATCCAGTTGGATTGGGGTTTTGGCCAGACTATTGAGTAAATTATTCTTTTAACGATATTTGATAAATATCTTTGAAATATTGATATTTTTACGATTTTTTGACGATATTTTACTATATCATCGTTGATGAGGAAAAAAAAATAATTTTTTTCTAGGTGTCGATGTCGATGTGTGAAGAGACATTTAGTACACTAATTTAAAGGTTTTTATTTTTATAAATATATTCACTAACTTTTGGGGTGATTTAAAATTCCTCGTCTGTATTCACAATTTTAAAGGGATATTTAAGAAAAGGCAACTATCTCTCACTTATAAAAAAAAACTTGCCTTTTTTTCTTTCATTAGCTTTTTAAAATATAATATAGTAATTACTATTTTTTTTATTAATAATGGTAACAAAAATAATTTTTTTAGACAATAAAAGAAAATTAAGTGTGTATAAACCGATCAACAATGAATATAATTCAAGTTTTGTTGATGAAATAACTATGGAAGAGAATTTCGTTTTATGGTTTTGAAAAACTTATAAGATTTTTAAAATTCAAACTCATTTAAAGTACGGTATACTTATTAAATTTTTGGTGCATTTAAAATTTCATGTATTTAAAATTAATTTTCCTACTCAAATTGTTTCTTTTTTAGTGGATAGGAATCAATAAAAAATAAGAAATATATTTTACTTAATAAAAATCCTATTTAAATTTTTAGCATTGAAGTTATCTAACTTTAAAAAAAAATAGGTATTCATAATTTAACATTTAAAAATTGAATTTACTTTCTATTTTTAATACAACATCACGACCTTGTGATGTGAGAGTTGCTGTGAGCTATGCTCAAGTTAGCTTATTTAAATCTATATTATATTTATTTGTGTAGTGTATTAATAAACATAATATGTTACTATTATAATTTTATTTATAGTACTATTATAAAAAAATTAATATTATAGATATTAGACTTTTATAATATTTATTTTAATTTATTTTTTATTTACTGTATTAATTTTAACCATTTATAATGAATGAAAGAAATATATTTTGGACTTTAAATTAAATATATTATCAGTTAATTATTGAGAATATTTTATTGTTTATTTCAAATAAAATATTTCTACATAGACTAAAAACATTCATTTTTAGAGTGGTTTTTATTTATTACTTATTGAAAATATTTCATTTACATTTTTTAAAAATTAAAAATAAAGAAAATAGTATTATTTTTTAATCTCAAAAGAGAGAAATTGGTAAATAATCATATTAAATTGATGAATTAGAAAATAGGTAATAATTAAATTTTAAAAGTATAGCAGTTTTAATGGTAAAATAATATATAAATATTTATAGGCATGATTGACATTGATACCTCTATTTCAAAATAATTTCTTAAAAATTGTTCACTCTGGACTTGTTATACAAAGGAAAAACAACAGGGCACGAGAAAAGAGATTACCGAACGGATCGGACCAATCGAACCGTGTTGAGCCGGGCTCGACCCATTGCCAAGCCCGGTATTCGACCTCCTCTGATCTCCATGCACCTTGGGTCCTGCGACAACAAATTAGGGCACAACAGAAGGATTTAGAACCTATTGAGTGCTATAAATAGGTCGTATAGCTTAATCCTAAGGCAAGTCAAATTCTACCCTTGAATTCTATCACTCAACTACTTCCCTTGCTAACTTAGACATCGAAGCCCGTGTGACAAGAGTTACACCAATCTAGGCTTGTTCGGTTTTGCAGGTCTTCGAGTCACTGGTAATCAAGCTTGGTGCGGACCGCGGGAGGAACTGGGAGAGCATAATCCACGCATGAACAAGACTTATATTTTTAAGATCAACCCATTTTGTTCAATGACAAAGGGCAATTGTAAATATGGTTAAAAAAAATTAAAGGAAATAACAAATTTAGAATCTACATTTTAACTTTGCAAATATAACACAGTTTTTAGAAAATACAGAGGTCCAATAATAAAATGCCAAATTTACCCTTGTAGCACTGATATAGCACTAATATATATATTTCATATATACTTGATATACCTCTGATATATAACTGATATATCATTAATATAACTATAATATCCACTAATATAACTTTTTATATGATTATATTATTTGTTATTTATTGATTTGTCATTGGTATATGTGTGATATATAATTGATATGCCTTTTATATACCATTGATATAATACTGACATGCAATTGATTTACTTATGATATAACTATGATATCTACTAATATAACTTTTAACAAGGTTTACCATTGATATACATGTGATATAACTATGATACCCACTGATATAAGTTCTTGTATGATTATATAATTTACCATTTATTTACCATGTTGATATAACACTTTTATATCTGTGATATATACTTGATATGCCTCTAATTTACCATTGATATAACTATGATATCTACTAATATAACTTCTTATATGATTATATGATTTACCACTAATATAACATTGATACATTTGTAATTTATACTTAATATGCATCTAATTTATTATTGATATAGCTTTGATATAACCATGATATTTATTGAAATAAATTAGAGATACATTATATGTTTATTAGATGTATAATACGTACATCTGATATATATCAGAGGTACATTAGATGTACATCAGATGTAGATCAGAAGTATATCAAAGATATACATCCATCAGACGTATATCAGATATTCATGAGCGTATACCAAATGTCATAAGGGTAAAATTGGAATAACAAAAATTTCAAAAATAAAAATCCAAATATTTTGTCGTATTTATAAAATAAAAAAGAGGATGACATTTTTATAAATATATATAAAAATTGAGCTACAAATACAATGATCCTGATTCAATCCTAACTAACTTTTTAACGTTCTCTTTCCAATTTGGTTGCTATTCTTTTTCCAATTTGGTTGCTAACATTTTAAAATGTCTAAAATACTATCCAAAAGACAGATATATGGTATTTAAACATACTATTTTATATTAATTAGCACTATTTAAATGTTAAATAACACATCGTTTAATAAATCCAATCAACCACATTTCGCTACCATTAAATAAAATAAAAATTTTAAAAATAGTCCCTTAACAAAACTTTAAATTAAATTAAGACATTATTTTTAGAGCAAGTAAAATAAATAGTCACATTTAATAATTAGAATTCAATAGGAGATTTTTGCTTAGGTGGATCCCACTTTCCAACTAATGTGGTAGGTTTGAATACTCATTCTATATTTACTAAAAAAATATACATCTCACTTGGAAAATATATATTTTCTTTTATTTATATATGAAAAGAAAATAAAAATACAAAATACAAAATAGTTTTACATGGGCAGAGAAATATCTATACTATATTAAAAAGCTAGGATGTAGGAAAAACATTTTTAGACACCTTTGTCCTTTACTAAATTTACAAATTTACAAATTATACCATTAATATATTATTACAAATATTAAATTAATTATTAATTATTAGTTATCAATACTATAAATGTATGGAATATAAAAGGTTAGAATGCAAAAAGTTTTCCAACAACATAAAATTAATTTTTTCTTTAATTAAAATTCATACTAGAATTTCAAGAGTTTTAGAATTTGAAAAGCTTTTGTAACGTTTTATCCTCTGCTACTATAAAAATAGGTTTTCTTCTACATGTTTTTCACAAGTTTCAATACTTTTTTATTCTTAGTTCGTTGAAATATCTCTCAAAGATATTCAATATTGAAAACATATCGAGATATTTGTGACATATTCATCAAGTTGCAAGAGAGGCATATGTTGAATCTACATATCTCGAATACTAGGTTTGTAACATTACTATTCCACAATTTTACAAAGTTGAATAATAGTATTTGTCAAGCAATCTTAAAAAATGAACATATTTACTCTAAAAGATGAGTTTATAGTAAGTACTTGGATTTTTTTTTGTTACTATTGTTATTTTTCTAATTAGTGTGTTTTTTATTTGGAATGTTTCTTTTTTTAACAATTTTATTTAGTTTAGGATTTGGACTTTTTTTTTACTAATGTTTTTTATTGTTTAGTGTATTTTTTTTATTTGGAATGTTTTTTTTAGCAATTTTATTTAGAATATTTGTTTAAAATATAGATAATTACAAGCTCATGTTCTTATTGTTGAAAAAAAAAACAATCATAGAAGCCAGTATATAAAAAAAATGTTTAATTAATAAATTAATTATAAACAATAATTTGTATAGAATCGTAAAAGGTGGAATATAAAACTTTTGGTCATTTTATTTTCTAATATTATAATTTGAAGAATTTTTTCTTTAATAATTTTAATTATAATATAAAATTAAATCAATAAAATAATTTAGTTTTAGTTAAAATATTCAACATATACAACAAAATATCAGCCCTAAATAAATATTTAATAAACAAACAAAATATTAAAAAAATAAAATGAAGGACCCATATTAGGTTGAAATAATTCAAAAATAAAAATATTAAAATACCTATTTACTTTTTTATTAATATATAATTTTTTCCTTTACTTTTAATTTATTTATTTACAAAATATATCATTAACAATTAACTATAAATAATATATTTTAAAAATAATTATAAATAGTACATTTTATTATTAGTAATTAGTTGTCAATAATAATAAATATATATAAAAATTAATCTTAATTATTTTTTAAAATAATTATACTTAAAATATTTTACGTGAAATTATATAAAATTTAAGTTACCTTATAATTAAAAAAATTTATACGTGCATTGCACGTGGTAATACACTAGTACAAATAAAAATGAAGAAGGAGAGAAGTGACGCTGCATAAAAGTTTTTAAAATAACAATCAATAAACAAAAATGGAAAACTAAAAAAATAATAATAATAAGGTTAAGTAATAAAATCTAATAATTAGTAAGAGAAAACCTACCGTTAAAAATGAGTGGGAATGTAAACTTTTGTAGATAATTTTTATTTAAAATATGTGGAGTCGTGGAAACCAGTTAAATTTATATATTTTTTAATTGTACAGTAATCAACAAATTTTACTATTCTCGATATTAAAAAAAAAAGAAAAAAGAAAAAAACACATTTTACTATTCAAAAAAAACAGTTAATGAACATGCCTTACACGTGGCACAGTTTAAACGGAGGATGAATGCGAATTTATTCACGAGAGGATAAGAAAATTTCCCCAAAAATAGTATGTTAAACTAAACCTATAAAATAGGGCGGAGGTCTCCGAGGGTCCGTGAGGCGACGACGACGAGTGATTGTGAAATCAGAATTCAGAGAGACTGCTTCTGTTCATGGTTGTAGCGAAAAAGCACGCAGTACCTCCGCGTCAGATCAATAGCGACCACCATCGGGTTTGTTTATCGATTACCAAACTAAATTTCAAACGAAATTGTTCTATGATTGTTCATCTTCAATTCAATCAGCCGTTTATTTCTATATAGAATTTAGTATTGTAGGAGCAGAAATGGTAGGCCCTTCGAGACCTCTTTTCGTGCTATTTGGTTCTTCCATAGTCGAGTTAAGCTATCGCCATGGCGGATGGGGTGCTTTTCTTGCCGATTTGTACGCCCGTAAGGTATTTGTTGTTAGTCTCGTTGTGGAGCTTTTTGAGTTCCGTCCTGTTTTTGCTTCAATTCCACGTTTTCTGTTTATTCTCCACGGTTTCGTATTTTGAAGTTTAGCGACCGAAAATCGCAAAGTTGTAGAGTAGAATTCACCGTCTCTTCCTTTAAATGGAGAAAATTCGAGTGGATCTCTATCACTCACATTTGCTCATCTTCCTTTAAATGGGAAGACTTCTTTTTATGAATTTCCATCGCATTTCTCGAGTTCTTCCGGATTTCTAACCATTTCTCACCTTCGTTTTGATCGGAGAGAATAATTTTTTGCCATGGATGAAATTTTGGTCCGTTCCGAGAGCTCAATTTGTGGTTCATGTATATCTTTATTGCATTCCATACTAAATTCTTAATACAACTCCACAGGCAGATATCCTGTTGCGCGGCTATGGTGGTTGGAATTCAAGACAGGCTCTGCAGGTCTTGCATAAAATCTTTCCAAAGGTACACAGTTGTGCTTGTGATCGCATAATGTTGAGGAAACTTTTGTTTCGAGGATTGAAGAGGCAGTAAAATAACTCAACAAGCTTTTTGCAAAGCGTCTTTTAAAAAAATGAAATAGTAATTCATGGTTTATGATGAATAATTGAGTTTAGATATGACAATAATTGAACATAGAAATTTTCTGGTTTGATACTAAAAGTCTAAACCCAACAGCTCATGCTGATAGGATCGAATATATTTAATCTTTTATAAACATTCTTAACAAAAGTAGTTCAAAGTACCGTTTCCTAAATATCATAGCTCTTGCTGAGTTGGGTCGATTTGATTTATTGTTCTTAAAATCTGTTGTCTCGCAGGACAGTGCCATCCAACCTTCATTAGTGATAGTCTACTTTGGTGGTAATGATTCAGTGCTTCCTGACCATTCTTGCCCTGGCTCTCATGTGCCACTTCCTGAATACATTGAGAATATGAGGACCATTGCCCTCCATCTCAAGGTGAACTACTTCCTTAAACATTAATCTAGATTCAAGCATCAGTGAACTTTTTCTTGCTCAATCGTCTTGTTGAACACTCTCTCAGAGCCTATCGGAGAAAACCCGTGTCATCTTCCTCACGGCTCCGCCCGTGAACTGTGCTCTAATGAAAGAAAAATTGAGGTGCGGTGCACATGTTATATTGGTTATTTTGATGAACTTATCCTCTGTTTTTGCCTGCCTTGCCTTTTCAATCCCAATGCCTCGTTTTGTTTCCTGGTTGAGGCAGCGCGGATATAGCCGAACGTCGAACAATGGAGACTTGTCGGAAATATGCAGAGGCTTGTGTAGAACTTTGCAAGAAGATAGACGTGAAATGCATAGATATGTGGACAGCAATCCAGAAGAGAGATGACTGGCTCACTTCTTGCTTCACGTTAGTTCATATAGCGTTTAATGGGGGATCTTTCTCGCTGGCTGCTGGCTTAACAGCAATAGATTGAATCAGGTGTTTGTTGTTTGGGTTGAATTTCAGGGATGGAATCCATTTTACAGCAGAAGGGAGCCAGATAATTGCAGAGGAAATTTTGAAGGTTCTGGAGGAGGCAGACTGGGAACCAAGCTTGAACTGGAAATCATTGCCAATTGAATTCGATTATGTTGGTCTAAACTAGCCTCCTGACTGGAAATGGTAAATTGATTCTTCTTTTACATCGAAGAAAACCTGTGAATACATCTATTTTCTAATGCCATAACCTTTGGTTTTCTGTTTTTTAAAAAATTAAGCTTAAAAACATTATTTTCACCCATGTTTTCATTTATTTTGTTATATGGTTTCTATAAATATTTTTAGGCAAATTGTGAATATGTATATATATATGTATATAGTTTCTAAAATTTTGTTTTTGTTTTTGAATTTGAGAGAGGTAAAAACTTACCAATGAGATTAAAAACAGAAAAGTAAAAATGAAACGGTTATCAATCAAACTAAAGTTTTACCCATTCTTACAACTAAGTTTAATCACTTTTATATGTAAGACATTTGTTCTTTTTAAGCTTGAATTTTGCTAAATTCAAAAAAAAAAAAGAGAGAAAAATCCTTGAATTTTGCTATTTGTTTAAAAAATACTTAATCTTTCATAACAAAGGTACGTTGATTATTAAGTTGTTTTAATTTCGGTCACGTAAAATTTTCCTTTAAGATATTAAAGGATATTCACTTAAATGATATTTTAAACATTTTTAGGAAAGGTAAGAATAATATTGAAACTTTTGCAAGAATATAAGCCTTTTTGAAACAAAGGGCAAAATTCAAGTGGGTGATATATATATATATATATGTTGTAATTTATGTAATTTATGTAATTTAAGGCTAAAATTTTAGCTGATAGATTAAAAAAATATATTAAAATGGGGTAAATAAAATGGAAAAAGAAAAAAGGTTGAACTGCTTTTTTAATTTTCAACTGATCTTCAAATAACGTTACCTGTCCAATTACCGTTTTGTCCTCGAGTTTAATTTATGAGGGTTTAACAAATTAAAATTGAAATGATGACGTGTAAATGCAGGGATAAAAGAGTAGAAAATCCAGGACTGCTACTTTTGGATCACATACTGCGACTCTGCCAATGTTGTGTGGAGCATATGTAATGGGCTTCGTTATTGGGCTCGGTTCATACGCATGGTTTATTGGGCTTCTAAAGTGATCAAAATAGCCCAGTTGTAGTGGCTTTCTAGATTTAGCGTTTTTCTTTTAAACAAGCAAGTCTTATAAGGCTGTCGAAACTCGAAATAGAGTTACAAAATCTACATGATGTACGTCTGCACTGTAGATTAAATAAATAAAATATCAACATGTAAATTATTGATTTATCTAATTTTTATTTTGAGACTTTTAAATGATTGAACACTAATTTTAAATAATTATAATAAAAAATCTTACATACTTGAAACCATGGATTAATTTTATTCTCAACCACCTCTTGCCATACACTGCTTGACATTTGAAGATGAAATAACCACAAAAATTATTCTAATGATAGGTACGGTGAGTATTTTTTTCAATTAAAGTTTGTACACCTTAAAATGTGTCAAAAAAAGTATAATCATTATTATTTGAACTAAACACATGAAAATATATATTTTAACCAATTGAGTTATACTCGATAAAATGTGTCAAATTAATATGTTAAACATTAAAAATAGAGAGTTTATTATTTGTAGAGGTATAAAATTTATCTCTATAAGGGGGTATAAATATGATTTTAGCTTAGTATTTGAATATTGACTCTCCACCTACCTAAGACGAAGATGAAGGTCTATCTATTTTATTCAGTTAAACCAATGATTCGTTATTGTAATAGATAGTAACAACCATTTCATCCAACATGCATATTTTTTATTTTCTAATGAATTTAAATCTTTTATTCATGAAATTTTTTTTTTGATGTAGTGAATAATAACTCTGATTGTTCGATGTTTAAGAATTCTTGTTTAGACAATTTACATGGTACTTAAAAAGAGGCGGCTGTCATATTTGTACTAAAAAAGAGGGCGGCTACTGAGAATATAATACATTAAATTATTACAAAAAGTTAGAGAAAAAGGAATTCAAAATAGATTGGGGAACGAGTAAAAAAGAAAAAAGAAAAATGAATCTGGACCGAATCTTCTTCCCAACATCAACTTTAAGAGTTGACTAACTAATATTAAATTTTGACAAACTTTGACTCAATTGTACGACGAATCAAAATTTCACTAAATAAAAGAAAATCAAATAGAAACAAATGGGAAGTGACGTAATTGATAGCATTGGGACTGACAAAAAAAGAAAGAATTATAAATTAAATTGAGTAAAATAAAGTTGAACACGTCTCTCTCTCTGTTTCTCACTTTCGTGGTTTGTTAATTGTGGAGGGAAAGGAGTGTCAGGAGAGATTGGGAATGAGAGGCACCCTGCACTTGCTTCATCCCCACCTATAATATTATTTTACATTTTCTAAATTCAATTTCCGAGGATAAATTCTATTCAATTAAATTGTATTTATCAGGATACCTTATTTTACTTGGATGACAAATTAGCAGAAAAAGAAAATAAGAGTTTTCTTCTCTTTTTTTTTCTCTTTTTAAAATTTGAGGAATAGCTTTCAAACGGAACAATCCTCTACGGTCAACGTTGTGAATTCAAACTACATTCTAAAGTTATTTTGGACAATTAATTTCAATCTAATATGGCAAGGACCGTCTATCTTATTCTCTGGAGTTAACGATAATAATTAAGAAAAAAGTTCGAGAGTGAAATTAATGATTTAATTATTCAAACCATTTGAATTATAGAAAATTCAACCACAAATTTTCTTTTTTTGGACCACACGTTGGTTGTATAGTATTCTGCCTTATTTTTACTCTTATCACATTTATGTAAATAGTCTAAAATAAACATTTATTTTTCAAATACGGTAGAATATTTCATATTTTATAAAAGTTACCCAATCTAATTATTTAAAGTCTAATTCTAATTAATATGAAACAAAAAAAAATAAACTCATGCTATATTTGAAAAATTTTATGTTAGTTATTATTGTTGATGTGTGATTCTAGTCAAAATAATCTTGCTAGTATTGGACTAAACCGCTAAGGTGATAGGATCCGGTTGGGGTGACAACTTGCACCGAGAGTTTATACCAATGGAATGTTGTAAACATGCCTTGGTTAAATTGGTATTTAGATCAAGATGGTATTGAGCCGAAGAAGAGTTCTAATGCGTACTTGCTTGAGTATGATGGACAATCCTAATACCGGATCATTTTGTTATTGGATTCATGTAGCTCGCCGTGCATTTGGTGACATGTTGGCAAGATAATTCGTACGATGTACATCCAGCACAATCCAAGCTTGGAATACGTTCAACCTCACTCATGGCTATGTTGTGCTCCACCCTATTGTCACCTGGTTTCATTCATGGTGACCACGTAATAGGTGTTTAGTTTTTCAACGAAGAGTTCCTTTAAACAAAATAAATAAATAAACAAATAAAAATCTCGCTGTAAGAATTGTTTTGTATTTTAGTTTTAGTATTGTATCGTGTATTAGTCCACGTGCCAAAAAGAAGGACCACGCTGAGTGTCCATGACTCTAGCAAAGAACCCAATACATATCTTCGAATACATATATGGAAATTGCTATTGTAAACTTTCTTTGATAAAACCTACCATATCTTCTTTATAGACATTTACTTGACAAAACTAGAACAAATGGTCACGTGATGTGTCTCTTGTTAATTCTTTCTACTCACTCATCTTGTCGTCTAATTTATTGGGAAATTGTTTTTTCCATTCAATCATAATTTACACTTCTGAAATTTTCTTTTTTTCCCAATGTTTTGCGGTTACAAACTCATACTTCAATAATTTTTCCCGACACTCGAGTAAAAAGGAGGGATACATGAATGAACCGATACCATATCCGAATGAGGGAGATCTTGAGATCATAGGAGAATGAGCAAGAAATGCTTAAAAAAATTGATAGTTATTGCCTATATTAACAAGGGTGCACCTCCTTTTTCAGTAACCAATCGTAAGAAAAACTTCAAAGTTAATAGTGTCTGACTTGGAGCAATCTTCGATTGGGTGACCTCTAGTGGTTTTACTAGGAAGCATCTGAGTGAGGACAAAACATGTTCAGAATGTTACATATTCTCTTATATGTTTTCTTCTTGTCGGTCATTAAAGGTAAGTTTGAGGCAATTTTTACCAGTTTCAGAAACTGTTAGAAGTTAGAACATGGTTGAAAATGTAGTATGTGGAATTTCTCAAATAATCAATAAAGATAGTTACTTTAATATAAAACAACATTAAAATAAAGTGGTAAGAAAAACTTATAAATTGTGGATTGAGGCATGTTCGTAAACGTTGTCCATAGAAAAGATATGTCTCAACCAACCTAAGCATAGCTCAATTGATTATCTTATTTCCGACCAAAAGGTTGACCTCGAATCCCCACCCCTATATGTACTAAAAGAAAGGGAAAAAATAAAAGATGCGGCCCACTATCAAGACACATTAAAAGTAGTTTTACAGAAGATGCATGTATGTGTGAAAATGTTCTTGGATTGTATTTTTAGATGTTAAGGATCCCACATTGATAAAAGAAAGGACCTTAGATTTATAAGGTAGGGAGCCTATGTCTAACAAATGTGTAACCACTACCTTCCTATTTTGTAGGATATAGGAAGAATTGGGTAGAACAAAGATTCATTGTATCTCCTAAAAAAATTACTAGTCAAATACAAATTTTAACATAGCTTAATAAATAAAATTAATATGAAGGTAAGTTAACATTGGTATAGCTTAGTGATAAACACAATTTATTGTACTAAATATATCACTCAATTTATAGTACTATATATATATATGAATGAAGGTAAACATACATTATTAAATTGAAGAATTACTAACAAATTATTTAGCCAAAAAAATTAAAAGGGGAGACTAATTGAGAATTGATTACCTTCATATAAATTTTCTTAGTTTAAATATTATTTGATCTCTATACTTTTTATATTGGATTCATTTTAACTTTATACTTAAAAAAAACATGTCTAGTTTAATCTATTTTTTAAAAAAATTAAAAGAATGTAGACTAAAGTAAAAATTTTAAATGAACTGGAGTGATGAGATCAAAAACTATTTAAACTTTTTTTTCCTAATAAAAGCACCATGTTTTTCGAAAAAAAAAAACCAACGAACCACCGCTCCCCACGTATCAAGTTCCTGGTGCGCAAAACAAGGGCTTCAGGCTTCAATTCGGTGATGAATATGGAAGGCACGTCCACTCTAACGCCCCCTCATCTCTCGTTTACGACCGTTGGATTCAAATACTTTATCATCAAGATCGATTCTAACCCCCACTCAGCCCTCGGGGAGGTTTTTTTATCCCACGCGCGGAGCCTTGACGTGGAGAACACGCTTCTCGATAAGATCATTCCAGAACAACCATTACTTAAGCAGCTTTCTCTGCCCCAATCTCTCGTCACCTCTTTCTTCTTCTTCTGCCTTCCACTGCGCTCTGATACGCCGCCTTAATTTTTTTTTCTTGGATTTTTTTGGATTTTGGTAATTCAAACTCTAATTCTTCTTCTCTGTAGCTTAATTTCCCGGCGGAAATGGCAGGATCCGGAGTTGTAGCCGTCTACGGGAACGGAGCTCTTGCCGAGACGAAGCAATCCCCCTTCTCTGTGAAAGTAGGTTTGGCGCAAATGCTCCGCGGCGGCGTAATCATGGACGTCGTCAACGCCGAGCAGGCACGCGTCGCCGAGGAGGCCGGAGCCTGCGCCGTTATGGCTCTTGAACGCGTCCCCGCCGACATCCGAGCTCAAGGCGGCGTCGCCAGAATGAGCGACCCTCAACTTATCAAGGAAATCAAACAAGCCGTCACGATTCCGGTCATGGCGAAGGCTCGAATTGGCCACTTCGTCGAAGCGCAGATTCTCGAGGCCATTGGTATCGATTACGTCGACGAGAGCGAAGTGCTTACTCTGGCCGACGACGAGAACCACATCAACAAGCACAATTTCCGCATTCCTTTCGTTTGCGGCTGTCGCAACCTCGGCGAGGCGCTGCGGCGCATTCGCGAAGGGGCGGCCATGATCAGAACCAAGGGCGAGGCTGGAACCGGCAATATCATCGAGGCGGTGCGGCACGTGAGGTCTGTGATGGGGGACATCAGGTTGTTGAGGAACATGGACGACGATGAGGTGTTCTCGTTCGCGAAGAAGATCGCTGCGCCGTACGATTTGGTGCTGCAGACGAAGCAGCTCGGGAGGCTCCCGGTGGTTCACTTCGCGGCCGGTGGAGTGGCTACGCCGGCCGATGCGGCGCTGATGATGCAGCTTGGTTGCGACGGAGTATTCGTCGGTTCCGGCGTGTTCAAGAGCGGCGACCCGGCGAGGCGAGCCAGAGCGATTGTGCAGGCCGTTACTCATTACAATGATCCGGAGGTGCTGGCGGACGTGAGCTGTGGGCTTGGCGAGGCAATGGTCGGACTGAACTTGAACGATAAGGTCGAAAGGTTCGCCAATCGATCGGAGTAGTTCGTCTTCTCCGGCGATTATGCACGCCTTGGTATGACAATTTCGAATCCTTTTCTCTGGATCTGGGAACTTGTAGTTTCTCAAAATTTACGTCTAAACATATAGCTAGCTATAAGAAATTTGATTTCCTGTTTGGATTGAATTTCTTTCGCATCCTCTCTTTAATCCTTCTTGAACATCTTGAATTGTAATGTTACTTTTAATCCTCTGTGTTTCATTTCTGGTGGTTTCTGCACCTTCGAATTTATTGGATTTATCAAGACCAGAACAAGATAATTATGCGTATAATTTCCCCATTGTCTCTTAAAATGAAGAGGTGCTGGTTAGAAATCTAGATTTAGTTTTGATTCAGAACAATGTAGTTGTAAAATCATACAAAAAACTAAAAGGAATTAAAAACGAATGGATGGCCTCAGCGGGTTTTACCCACGGCTTGCAAGATGATAAGCAATTGGAGGAAGTAGTAAGAAACTCCCCCGATTGTTGCGTATTGTAATTTCTCTGGCCCTTCGACGGCCGGAAAGTCACTCTCGCCGGAACGATTGAAGCCTCCGGCTAACCACCCCAAGTTCTTGTAACCTTCTTTGTATAACTTCGACACTGCGATCAAAGACCTAAAACTTGCAAAGCACAGTGAAAACCGAACGAGAAGGGAAAATAATTTTTTACCTTATGATAAAATGTTCACATGTTTACGTTTATGGTAAGTAAAAACGTCAAATGTGTGCTGGATTGAAAAAAAAATTTTGGACCTAATCTTTCACTATTCTCTCCAGTCCTCGCATAAGCTTCATTTGGTACTTGCAGGAAATATTTCTAGTGCTAACCTATAGTACTAGTACCTATTTATTTACTTCACTTTTTGGCACATAAGATAATATAGGCCCAAGAGGCTAGCTAGCAATAAATTGAAATAATATTTGACCCTTTTTTAACAGACTATTAACAAAAATTTAAAAGTTTAGCTTTTTAAGTTTTTTGAAAAATGCATTTTTCTCTTATTTGTGAAAAATTTAACAGCACAAAAATAACCCGTTAAGAGTACCCAAGTTTTGTTCTTCTTTCTACGGGCCACAGCTGCGTTTAGATTTAAGAAATCAAATCAAGTGAACGCATCGCTTCAAATACTGAGTTCTAAATTCTGATCAGCAGGAGAGTACGATGGATTTTCATGATATTTTAAAATCAACAGGAAAAAAAGAAAAGTCAAATCTCCCATACAGCCCAGTTTCTCTTTCTTGCCAAAAAAAGAAAGAGAAAGCCTTCCCGAGTGAAGAAAAAGGGTACTGATTCAATACTTGAAAGGGAGGAATTAGCCTAAGAAACATTGGCAACCACAAGAAAGGCACACCACTAAAAAGAATTCATGAATTGAGAAAAAAATAAATAATAAAGAAAGAAAGAAAATTAATCTCACCTTAGCCCTTCGCCACAAGCTACAAGGAGCTTGGCGTTCTTATCAGGAACAACCTCCTCCACTTTCCGATTAAAATCAGGATTGAAGGTCGTCAGATACTGGCCAGTCCACAGTCCAATGTACCCAAAATGCACCCATTTCTTCACAAGACTAATCGGTCCATTGTCTTCGTCCTTCACAAACAGCGCCACATGAATCGACTCTCTCACTCTAGCTTTCTCCCACTCCCACTCCGGCCTAATGTCCAGAAGCCTGAACCCCTCGGAATCCATGGCCGCCGCCGCCTCCTTTGGACTAATCGCCTGAACCTCGCCAGACTTCAGGAGCTCCTGAGCATTTCCGGCCACCGCTCTCACCAGAGATGTGGCCGTTCGCCGCCCGATCAGCGGCGCCGCTGTTCGCTGGGTGATGGGTGTACCGTAAACATTGCTGAGTTGCACCGCCATGGTTGTTCTCAGCCTCAGGTCTCAACTTATCCAATGCCAAATGGCGGCTTCGCTGTCACTTTTGTTCAAAATGGTGCCAGACAAACAGGCCCTTAAGTTTCCTCCATAAGATGAGAACCATTTTCATGGGCCTTCTCCATTCCATGAAGAAGCCCACTGGAGTTCATGCATGAATATCACCAATGTTTTTCCTTTGAGAGTATGCTGATATCTCAAGTAAACAGAAGCATGGTATTGAAAATGCAAGGGAGCTTATTTTAAGCTACAAAGTTTGATTTCCTCTTTGATGTTCTAAAGGGTAATTATACAAAAGAATTAAGATTTAAGAGTACAGCTATTATAATGGTTGCAGTCTTGCTGTATCAATATATTAACCTAAGGTTGAAATAACATACATTGTGGATATATCTCATGAATTTCTTCTTAATTCACCTAAGATCTAAATGGAAAGAATGTGCTGACTGACTTCATAGCATGCTCCAGTACTTAACATGCTAGCTACTGTCTGTCTTGTAGTAATTTTCTCAGGCTAAGGAATTCCATGAATCTGAAACCATTCAGGCATGTGAAATTTTTCGTAAAGTACCGGTCTGACGTCTTTTTCCAGGGCGAGGCGTTTGAGGAGCGGGAGGAGGACCTCTAAAAGCTGAGGAAGGCACATCACAGAACAAAGGGCAAGTGAGTATCTAATGAAATGTATCATGAGTTTGAAAATTGCGTTATCAGAAGAGAAGCTGCTACCTGATTATCAGAAGGCTGTGCTGGAGAGAACGGGATGCATGGTATTCCATTCAATGGTTGCAGCAAGAAACTAAAAGGGTTGTTGTCAATAATAACAATTCGAGAGAGATCGCTCTGTATACATGATAGATCTTTAACATGTTCTCGGTATTCTCTGCAATTTACAGATACATCTTAAGAATCAAGAAACTTTAACATTATAAGTTCGTAGTTATCAGTTACTATTTCAATATCATGACTGTATATATTTAACAGCCAGAACAAAACTAAAAACTTAGATGCGTTAGAACATGAAGTACATCATTAAAATGAATTACTTGAAAAGATGCTTCCAAGAATCAAGAAATGCCTAAAACATAAGTGAAACCTTAGAACATAAAATCTCTCATAGAATGAAATGCTTGCTTAATTGTGTAGTACCCCAGACAAGAGTAATCTTAGATTCTAAACCCAACAGAGAGGTAAATTTATATTATACCCGAAATATTATTTCTGCTAATTGGAAGAAATACTTACGTGCTAACCGTTGATGGTCGATAAAGTCGAAGGCTGAATCTTCCCTCTGAATCTATCCTATCGACCAGTGGTCTAGCATATCCTGTACATGCGCAAGAGAACACATATGATAACGGACTAACAGGAGAAGAGTCACAAAAGATATTGATCAATCAATGTCAAACCTTCAAGGCCAGCAGTGAATAAAACGAGTTCAGCAAATTCAGCAGCCTGACGCAAGAACTCATGCAATCCAGGCCGTTCAAATACAGTCACATGACTGACCTTTGGCTTTCCTTCATATTCCTTCAATAGAACTACCAAAATTAATCGATAAAATATAGATTTGTAGTGAAGTTCAGAAATATTTTGTAGCCTAGAGACAGAAATCCAGAAGTACCTTGTCCGAGGAGACACATTCCAGCTCAAACCAATTCAAGCCAGCTTCAGTTGCCTGAGTGCGAAAAACGGCAGGCAAACTGGATGTTTCATATGCACATATTAAGGTTTCATCCAAATCAAGAACCACCTGCATGCGCAATTGATGTATTAAAATCACAAAATGGCAAATGAATAACAGTATTATAGTAACCGTGATTTGATTTTCCTTCATAAAATTAGCCAAATGTTTAGATTGTCTCGAATTTATTCTCAACAATGTAACAAAAGGTTTCCCATTACAGATAGCAAAAATAACTAAAAGAAATGCAGCAGGAACGCATTTTCACTATCCCACTCAATTACAAAATCAATCGCTTACTCTATCATTTTGCACGTTAACAGTCAATGAAGTCCCTTACCAACGGAAATTACAATTTAATTCAATACAACAGCTAAACTATGAAATCAAATACCAATGTCGACGCTATATCATCTAACATTTCTACAACGCCGATTGCCCCAACGAAGTACATTTAACTTCTAAGTACGAATCACAGAACATCTTAAACTAACCAGCAAATTAGTGAGTCGCAAACTGAAATAAAGCCAGTTTCCGTTCCGGTGCCCAACGATTTAATAATGTCCCGAGTTATTAATCATGCCTCACATTTTGCGAACAAATATAGAAGGAACGAAGAAGACGAGACGAGCATTACCGTAATCTTTTCCAGAGGGCGATCTTGAGTTCCACCAACATCTACACCACTGAGAGAGCTAACTTTCGTTGCTGAAAACTGATGCAGAGGTAGTTCAGAGACGGGCAAGGGCTTAAAAGAGGACCCAGATGAGGCAAGAAGAGGGAATCTAACACCGACATAGGACAAAATCTGAGCCAAGGAAGGAGCACCGCGCACGATCTGAACAATTATATGACAAAAGAAAGAGAGCCAATCGACTAAGGCTCGCCATACTTGCACAGACCTCGGCGCACACACCTCCGTCTGACCTATCTGCGCCATATCCACCACCAATCGCAGATACAGAGAGATCCCCAAAATTGACTGAATCCCAAAGGTAGAATCCACGGCTCTACTTCTCTTTCTCTATCATTTTCAGCGATTGACAATAATTAAAAACGCCATAAAGCAATTTGAAAATTCTGTGGCAGACGGAATTGTGGCGGTGATGGCAGGTGATGGTGGTGGTCCGGTCGCTTTTTGCCGCCTTGGCTCGGCTTCAACGACTGCTTCCTACTTTTTCTTTCTTTCTTAAAATAACTTTTTTAATTAATAATAATTATCCTTTTATTACAGCCAAGGAACGGTATCATTTATTCCAATTTATTGATAAAATAATATTAGTTTTTTTTTTTTTGGCGCAAAGGAATATTTAGTATTTTGGTGGTTCATGAACTAACCCCATTCCACATCGTCGTCAGACGTCAAGCTGCGCGTGATGGGCTCCGTGGCCCCATCTAATGTCTCCACTTTTCTATCATTGTTATTATTTCCAAACAATTATTTATATAGCTTTGTTTTTTCCTTATTTGGATTTTTCATAAGTGTTTTATTTGGATTTGGTCTCCTAATTGAGTTGTTATTTCATTGCATGACGTCAGCAATTCACTTTATCTTTTTTTCAATATTTTCAGACTAAAGAAACTAACAAAAAGGGAAATTGACCTCGTACCGAATCAACTAGACTAGAGCAAACTTAATGGGCCGAGAAATTTCAGGCTAGAAAATTTGGACCAGAAACTAAGCAGGCCCTGTGCCGGGCAATCTCAGGCGTAAAAGTTGGGCCACAATTAAAGCAGGCCCAAGTAGCTGTCACTGAGGCATGTGATAGTTCTAAGCTGGCATTGAAATGAAGATTTTGTGGCGGCTAAGCATCTCAACCTCCACCAAATCCAATTATTTTTTAATCTGATTCACAAACCGCAATTAAGATCATTTCTGAAGATATTGAAAATCTAGGAATGTGGATCCATCCTTAAAAGCTAGCTTCAAAGTTGTTTTCAAAGAAGACAAATTTTTAGCACACATATTAGCTCTGAACAGTTAGTTAAATATAAATATGTTTTTATTTTCTCAAGTTTGTACTACGATTTTATATAATGCTATAAAAGCATTTGAATTTTTTATAGGTCATGCAATCTAATAGGTTATTTTTCAAAAAAAAAAATTTAAAGATTATAATCAATTTAATGATAAATCAACAATCAATACGTTACAAATATATTTATTAGAAAATATTCCTACAAGTGTATTATTTGTTGTAAAAGAGAAGTGACAGAATTGGAATGCTAATGTGGAGAATATCCATATAAAAAATTATAAAATAAATATAAAATAATAAATGTATCAATTCGTAAACCTAACTCAATGCTAAAATCTATACCTGGTTAAATTTTAAAAAAAATATATATAATATATTGCAAACATAAGATTAGCCACCTAACTCCCATGAGATTAGAAATTGGATCCCTGTCTCTTGTACTAAAAGAAATATAATATATTTATAATCGAGCATAATTCAATTTCATCTATTTTCAATTAAGATTTAGTTATATAAATATATAGAATATTAAAAAAGTAATAATCAAACAAATAATCAAATATATGATTGTTAACAAAAACATAGCTCAACAGTAATTTGACATGTAATCAAAATGGTAAGCAGTTAGGAAGATGAATAAATTAACAATAAAATATATAGTAAATATTTGAAAAAATCAAGATCAACAATATATTCGTAGCTTGATATATATAATTCGTAGATATTTCTATTTTTTGTTCAAGATTACTGCAACCTGGCCAGAGGGCCGAGTATTCCAAATTGCAGAGCCGGAGTTCAGAAGAAGAGAGAAAACAGAGAAAGAAGACGACAGAAAAATGGGCGTGAATTACTACAAGATTCTTCAGGTTGATCGCAATGCCAACGACGATGATTTGAAGAAAGCGTACAGGAAGCTCGCCATGAAGTGGCATCCAGATAAGAACCCTAACAACAACAAAGACGCCGAAGCCAGATTTAAGAAAATATCTGAGGCTTATGATGTAAGATACGCGATTCTTCTGCTATTGTAGTGTCTCCTTCGAATTTTGTAGGCAGTTCGCATTAATATCAATTCCACTCCAGGATTCCATTGAATGTTAGCTTGTGTCAGGTATCATAGGTTTTTGATCGATTCTGTTCCTCTGTCTGTTCTTAGGTTCTGAGTGATCCTCAGAGACGAGTTCTGTATGATCAGTTAGGAGAGGAGGGTTTGAAGGGGCAAACGCCATTTCCAGGTGGCCGTTGCAGTAACTCGACTGACCATGGTCCGTCGGCCATGTTTGGCTTCAACTCGAGAAGTGCCGATGATTTGTTTTCGGAGTTGTTCGGTTTTCGCAATCCTTTTGTAGGAGTGGGCTGCACGGATGACCCTCGTGCTGCTGCTTATGGATTTTCACGGGGTTTGTTTGGTGATGATAAACCTGGCTCCTCCAGGCGTGGGGCTGGTGCGGCCTCCGGTAATATGACTAGCAAAAATGCCGCTATAGAGAAGACTCTGCTGTGTAGTTTAAAAGATCTATACAATGGATCTGCGAAGAAGATGAAGATTTCTAAGGATGTCATGGATGCTAGTGGGTTAGTCTCTATCTACAGACATTTTACTCAAGAGCTTATTTATTTGTAACATAATTAACCCATTTTTCGAGTTTGATCTGATTATTTTGAATGCCATATTCTTCTGTTAGAAATGAAGCTCTAGAATGACTTTATTGTGATTATTATGCTTCACCATACTCCATGATTTTATGGCTTATTCTTGTCATTTTAGACCTGTTTCAATTTGTATCAACTAATGTTTTACAAATTCCTCTTAAGATGTACATGATTGTATAATGAGTCATGATAATATGAAAAGGTTAGCTGTCGTTGTTGTGTTCCCCCTTTTCTTTTTGTTGGTATTCCCCTTCCCTTTTCAGTTTGGGCACATATTGCCAATGAATTTATGAATTTTTTTGACGGCCCCAATGGTCTGAGAGTCCTAGAGTACAGAAAAGGTTGCTTAATCACTTATTGGAGGACTTTGCACGCATAACCTTTTCTATTTATTGGATAAAACAGATTTATTTTGCCTGAAATGTAAATCAAAGTTACTTCTGACGATTCCTATTTCCTTGCAAATCTTTCCTATTTGATATTTCCAAGAGCTTTCAAATTTTTTGTCCCAGCTTGTGCACATGGTTTGGTAATTATCTCCAAGAAAGTTAAAAGTTTTCATGTGGGAACCTCTGATGGGAGTAAAAACAACCCTAGGTCAGGCAGAATCCAAAAGAGAATCCCAACCTATGCTAACTTGTCTCCCCAATGCCCTATCATTTGCAAAACTGAAGTATAGAGAATCAAGACCACCTTTTTTTTTTTTTCACTACAACTCTTGATTCTGGAACAAGATTTTTATGGAATTTGGCTGGTCTGTCCCATTTCCCAGATGCACAAACAACATTCTTCGCTTTCTTCTTTGAGACAATCTGTTCAGAAAGTAAGCCTAATTCCTTTGGCTCCACTTGAACTCAACGAAAGGACTGTTTTGGATAAGGAAAAGGCTCCATTCATTGTGGGATCAAAATTATTCTCTGGTGATGTATTGGTGTGAACTTAATAATGATTTCTTTAATTATAGCTTCACCTCTTTTTGTATCAACTGGTCAGGAGGTTCTAACGTTCGTGAATTATAATTTAATTGATAATTAGCGACAAACACTTAATTATTGTTCTTGCTATACTAGCTATATTATGATGCTATTATGTACAGGAGACCTACTACAGTGGAGGAAGCCTTAACAATAGACATCAAGCCTGGATGGAAGAAGGGAACTAAAATAACTTTTCAACAGAATGGAAATCAACAACCAAGAGCAATAACCTCGGACCTCGTGTTTACCATCGATGAAAAGCCTCATAGAGTTTTCAAAAGGGATGGCAACGATCTTATTGCCACCCAAAATATTTCTCTGGTAGAAGCTCTAACAGGTTACACTGTGCATCTGATTACTCTTGATGGCCGAAATTTGACAATCCCAATCAATTCAATCATTGGGCCCAGTTATGAAGAAGTTGTCAGAGGGGAAGGGATGCCAATTTCAAAAGAACCTTCTAGAAAGGGGAATTTGAGAATCAAGTTCAACATCGAGTTCCCCATCAAACTGACGTCAGAGCAAAGAAGGAGCATCAATCAGTTATTAACATCTTCATAAAAGATGGTAACTCGTTCTCTATTCATCGTATATATGGTTTTCATTTCTTTAGTGTTCTGAGAAGTAAGTTCATGTTTGTGTTCCATTTAATAAGTGAATCAGACACAGTTGTTTGGTTTAGGAGCTTAATATGAAACTGAATATTTCATTCATTCACAGTTGCAATTTCTGAATCTGAGCCAATTGTCAAATCTCATCATGGAAAACCATATAC